CTTCCGGCAGAATGGAAGGTTCATGACGTATTCCACGAGATGTTGCTGAGACCTTATCGAGAGGATCCCAACCCGGGCAGGCAACAGAATACACGAAAACGACTCGCAACACCCGACCCTCAAGAGGCACTCTTAGATGAGAACTTCAAACCGGTTGCCAACACTCGGCCCCATACGCGGAGTCAAGGGCCAGTCACCGACTCGAGATGACCTCTGAAACGACAGCGGACTAGGGAAGACTAGCTCGATACCTTTCCTACTCTATGACTTTTCCCAAAGGGGTTTTTATCATAGAGAGGTTTTAACGGTCGAGGGCGACGTCTAGGAAGGGGGAGTAGTGTTACAGGAAATACGAACACTGCTCCTAAGTTAAGGAACAGGGATAATATGAGTGATGAGTGGTGATGCGAGTACGGTCGGGTAACGAAGGAACAAGCATAGAAAGGTACCGAGTGGTGTGGGGGCACCGGGTGTAACCACACTAGTATTAGGCTATGGTGAGGGCACGCTTACTATTGGGCGTCTCGCCCGGAACGGAATAGAAGCGGGGCTTACGGCTGCAGGCCGTTCTACTTAGGGAAGTAGCTCTGGGACAATAGTACGATACAGTTCGGTTACTGGCAATTGCAGGGTTCATGGTTACGTGTCGGAATTAGAATGGATGGCCGGGACTATGCGGGGGCGCTTTTCTATTGGGGTTATCTTCGGGTTGATTGTCTTATTCTATTATCGTTATCTCATTAGTATTAGAAAGCGGGCCTTGGCATAGGTTCCAATGTGTATAAATAGGGTAGGGTTCCGCCTCGTCTTAGTGGCATCATCAGTCACTCAGCGAGCGGAATCCGGTTTACAATATTACAAGTTTAAAAGCTATAGAATTATCGCTTAGCATTGGCAATTCCCCAAACAGAACCATATAAAAGGATAGCTGTTTCTGTAGAGTTGGGTATTGGGTTGAACAATAAATATAGTACGGGAGTCAAAGATCTTGAGTATGCCAACCATTTTGACTTAGATTCCCCAGTACTCGGAGGAGAGCTCAAACGCAACAGTATCAAGCTTTGTCTCAATGGCAATAAAGTATACAATAGCTGGTTTGAGGTAAGGATACCAATCCAGCAAGGCATCGGTACTATTCCAAAGCACTTTCATGTCCAATAATACGTAATTATGCTCGATCTTCACTGCTAGACACTGAGCTTCCAAAGCTTCCTATATCAAATTTGATGTTCTTATTTTTGATGCGATTTTCCGGACAATTCTAAAAGTTCCCACAGCTGAACTTTCAAAGCCATTTGTGCTGCTAGGTTTATTACATGACCCATACAGTGAACATGCCCATCTTCTCTGCTCCATCCAATCCCTTGCATAAGATCAAACTCAAAAATGTTGAGCATCGCGGTATTGACAGTTACATTGTGTGCGGTAATGCACTTTATAAAATCATGAATTTTATATTCTCGGAAGACATTGTATGTTGTTTGTGATCGGTTCTCTGCAGTATGTGATCCGCGTAGCCGTTTGAAGCCAATTATTATGTTCTGGAGTTCGTGGTTTTGGTTCATCCAATACGCGATTATGCCAAGGTAGGGGACCTTATTTCTAGACGTGCAGGCATTAAGGGTAATATTGATGCATCCACCACTGTCGGTATAGTCTTCCAGGCATGAAATAATGGTAGGTTTGAGTTCAAGAAACAAGGATTGCATGTCTCGGATTAAAGTCCTCCTCGAAATTGGGTTGATTGTGGAGTTACAATAACTCCTCAGGTTCCTGAATGATTCCGCTTCAACAATCCGAAATGATGAATTGGTATCGACCAGAAAAGCTGCCAAAAGCTTCCTGTACTTCGCTTGCTCAAACTGCTCTCCCGGTACCTGCCTGATGTCGGTTTTTCTCCCAACCTATAAAGTCCATGGATTGAGTACTTCACCTCTTTTCCGTTTCTTATTCTGGATACGATTGAATGTTGTTGTCTCCGCATCTCTAGATTTGGGTAAGTTTGGATGATGTTTGTTGAAATGGCGAATAAATACACTGGTGGTTGTGTATTTCAGATCGTAGGGTCCCCAAGGTGTTGTTGTAATCGGGCAGTGGTAGCATCTTACTTGGTGTAAGGTAGTATCGGGTATTCTTTCTCTAATAATAAGATATCTATCATAAAGATAGGCTGTGTTCCTAGAATTAGGTAGTCCGCTGATTGTATTCTCCGTCCTATACTCATCTATATGAATAGATTAATGAGAGTACCAACCGGCATGAATAACAGCTGGATAGTAAGATTAACATCCTCCATTTTCCTGAAAGTGTCCATCCCCTGCGAGCTCTGGAGGGAAGTCGGGTACAACAGACATATTGAATAACTTCGTTGAAAACACTCCAGTAATTGATTTCTTCTTGAGGTGCTTTTCCTCGGGAGATGCAAACGGATTTGCTAGATACAACACAAACATTGATTATATAACACATACATTTGTGGCTTACTATAGGGCTCGAGCTCAAGCTCAAGCCTTTGCAAAATGAGCTTGAGTCGGCTTGGATTGTGAAGACCTGGACTTGTCATGTTCGAGCCAAAAGCTCGAGCCAACAGCTCGAGTCCGCTCGGCTCGTGCCCAACACTAATCATTCCTGTTCCGGATATCTAACATTGCACAACCCCCAAACCTCCGTCCAGCCCCTCCCCTCCCCACCCGATACGCAAAGGATCATCCCACGTCCGACTACCGCGGGCGGGAACCCAAGCCGCAAGGGCGAAATGAACACTCCACCGACACCTCCGGCACCAGAAAGCAGACACATCCCCATACAGTCATCGCAAACCGGCAATACACTTCATCCTCTCTCATCACGCCCGATGTAAATGGTTAAACCTAATTTATCCTTTGCCCTACAACCAATTACCGGCAGAGCTTCCGAGAACACCCGGTGACCACGGAGGTGCCGTGTCCGCTTTCACCGCCGCAACGTACTCAATAGCACAGCGGGGATGCGCTCAATCGGAAGAAAGAGCCTCAAGAAGCGCTGTCCAGACCCTAATCAGAAGAGGATAATGGGCCGTGGCCGCTAGATGATGTCTAGTCGCGGTGCGCGGGGGCAGACGCGGGCGCGGGCGGTCGGCAGGTAGAGACGACACCACTGGAGAAAGAGTCGTGAGGTGCTAGATAGGAGAATTGATCTCGATATTCCAAGCCGGCAATTATTCGTAGTTGCTAGCTACAGCTTCCCTTCCGCTTTTTTAGGTTTGGTCGGCTGTGTGCTGTGTTCAGACATCTCAGTGGGTACTCCCGGGTTGTCACAGAGGTCTGTACCCGAACCGGCCCGGCCTTATAATATTTGTACCCAACCTGGCCCAACCTGGGTGTTTTACCGGGGTAAATCTGCGTCCTGTATGGGTACAAATCTTTTTTTTTGTTTAAGTCATTAATTACATGCAACCTTACAGTTATGGTAATTTATATCGGTACAAATCCGAATATATACTATTCCTTTCACGTAATACTGGGGATATTTGATAACTACCGTGGTGGGGATTTGGAAATATATTACCATTTTTTAATGATGAAGTGCCTTTTTCTTGCCAATAGAAACAGCTGAGTATACCCAGAGTTAACATATAGGCCACACCCGGCTCGGGCCGTTGAAAAGAGGCTGTACTCAACCCATACCCGATGGGTGCTACCCGGGTAGCGAACGGGTTGAGTGTCACCCATTGAGATATCTGGTTGTGTTGTATCAGCATCTGGGCAAAGATAAAAGGCTATTCTGCCCTGCTGGCCAAGTGAGCGCCCTGTCGACCAAGTTGGCCAACGAGGCGCACTATTAGCTAGCAGAATGGACTTGGTAACCTCACCAATAGATCCTAGCTTAGCATATTTACCCAGTTGCAGTGCTCTTGTCCATATGCGAAGTTGGTCACTTTGGGAAGATTCGTACATGGCGGGTCGCCATATCGGAATATTCAGCCGTGGCTGGGAGAAAGCCGCCGTTTTAGAAGTTCTCAAACGGCTAGGCCATGTGTGGACTTCTAATATGGCGCTGGGAAGTAATTTATCTTTTTAGTCTTGTCCGGAAGTTCCGATGGATTTATTAGATGGTAATTCGTTCGAGTATGCATCGGTAGTTACGAGAGCTTTATCGACGCATTTCTAACAAGGCATTATACTCAACACAATCGACAGGCGTACAAACATGGTCGACCTAATTCGTACCCCTGTTCATCATGATATGGGTAGAGATAATGATTAACTATACTACACGTATTTAATTTCATCGGTGCTAATCAACCCATTGTGTGCAGTAACATAAAGATATGATTCGAAGGTTTCTTTCCTCACGCCATATTAGAAGTCCACACATGGCCTAGCCGTTTGAGAACTTCTAAAACGGCGGCTTTCTCCCAGCCACGGCTGAATATTCCGATATGGCGACCCGCCATGTACGAATCTTCCCAAAGTGACCAACTTCGCATATGGACTAGAGCAGGACCATAGGGCCACTGGCTTCTTGGTAAGGAACTTGGCCAACAGGGTAGCGTAGTTCTCCCCATGGTGAACGGGCTGATCTCTGCCATTTTATATGGGTTGGTGAAGGGGACGCCCCCCCCCCCCGCGGCCGCCAACCTGGTGTATAGGGCGCTCCATGGGCCAACGGGGCGTCTTGGCGATCGGAGCAGAACAGAAATCTGGGATGGCAAACTCTTCAGCGAGAGGTAAAATAAAGATCATCATTTCTCAGGAATGCCCTTGTGGAAGAGAACTACGACAAATGGTGAAACTGCATGGTCAGTCCAATTTAACATCCAATCCTAACGGTAACGTGATGAGAATATCATTGGCCGTCGTGCAGCTTGCATAATCCAAGTGGGGTAACTCTGTATTGTCAGACACAATACAGGACGTATTTTAGCGCCTTACTTAACTACGTTTGTGGAGAACAGCCCTCGATCCTACACCATTACCTTGCCGCTAGGCCTTCCGGGATGGCTGACCCTCTCTCTATAGCTGCCTCGGTCGGGGGTTTACTTTCTCTTGCCTCGCAGATCTCCCTCTTCCTCGTCACTACGATCACTACTGTCAGCACAGCCCCAGAAAGCATCAAAAAGCTTAGGCAGGAGTTTTCATCACTGTGTGTTGCTCTCGCAAGCCTTGAGAAAGCATTAAGCGTCGATCACATTGCCCGCCGGCCCGACTTTCCCAAAGAGGATCTCTCGGATGTTCTAAGCTGCATGATGGGTGACTTTATCGTATTACAAGGTGCCCTGGGCAAGCTCGTCCCCGGCCCCACTGACAGCAAGATGAAGATCCTAAGAAAGCGGTTGGCCTGGGCGTTCCGTGAGAAGGAAGTCATTAATATGAAAAATAATGTAGAGGCCTATAAGTCCACCATACTCATTATGGTAACAACTGCTTCCTTGTGAGCATGTTCCCTGAAGAAAGGATGGTTAACAAAACCATATATCTGGATAGGATGACGACGAGTGCGACGTCAAACAATGTTTGCGCCCTGAGAACTCAGTTACTTGAGCTATCCACAGACATGGAGCACAGCAGGGCAATTTGTATGCCAATATCGAGGGAGAGTCGGACTCCATATGGGCTATCCTCAATATCCTTTTCGAGAATGATGTCGCTGGAAGGTATCCAGGGAGCCTTCTTACGCAACCGGGGAAGTCCTTTCCAGCGTTATGCAAGCGATGCGGCCTCGATCTGTAGTGGGGTAACTGTCGAAAGTCGAATTAGTGCTGGATATAGTCAATACACATACGGCGCACAATCAATTATCGATCTATACCTGGATAGTATTCGTACAACGAGCCCAAGCCCTTCGATACATTCTGAAACCCTCATGGACACCCCCTGGGAGGAAGCCTTCCAAATTCTTAGCCCTCAAGATCAACAGTCGCTTCACTTTATTATTACCTCTTCAAAGATCGATATTCTCTCTCAAATCATTGGCATAACCCATGAAAAAAGAGTACAATACATAGCAGGGGAATGGGGGGTAGGATATGGGGGGACGACTATGGTAACTCGAGATGTGGTAGATAGGGTTATAGGCTGGATGGATAAGTTCAAAAATCTTGGAAGTATCCTGGCTCCGGTTGATCCCGTTTACGCTACCTTGCCGTGGGCAGCTTTTCGGTTTTTGTTGATGGTCATGGGGGAGGATAGTGCGAGAATGGGGGGAGTGTTTGTAGTATTGGAGGATCTGATTGCGATTCTAAGTCGGTGCGAGATTTATGAAGGGTTGTATCTGAAAGGGATAAGGTTCGCTCCCGTATATGAGCATTTGGAGAAGGCGTTGGTGGTACTTTATGCTGCTATCTTGGCCTTTTGGCAAAGACAAAGAGATTCTATGAAACCGGGATAGCGGGTATGATCCTTCCCCAGATCTATTGCGCTTGAGTTCTATCCTGTTGAAAGAGACGAATCTAATCCCGTCGATTTGGTTGTGTTTGTGCATTATAGAGCGAATGGTCACTGAGATTTTCAACATCGAGGGCTTTCAACTTTCAATAGACACAATCAACAAGGCTGAGGTGGAGGTAGGTAAAATGGTAATTGCGGTAGAGGCGACTGGTGAGTAAAGAATAATCGACGTTAAGTGTTTTACAATGCTAAGTCTGGTGTGGGCGTATATAGTGCAAAAGTCGGAGCATCAGCAACTGAGAGGTATGTAATGACAAGCTATCATCAAATATTGATGGCTTCCTCAGAATGACTAATCTTGATGTGGCACTCGTAGAAGAAACAAGGCTTCTCCGAGACCTCTTGGCGGAGATCGAAGAGCCTCTAGTACGTATTGATGGTCAGGTCACTGACATAGTTGTGAAATTCGATGGTAGTTTCCCTTCGATTGGTCAATAAACGGTTTCTTTTCTTACTAATTGCGCTCCATTGAACCAGAGGCTAGACGCACTCACATCCTCACATGGATCTCGCGGATTCCTTATAAGCAGCATCACGCGCGAGCAAGGGAAGGTCGCCTCGACAATACCGGGGAATGGTTTCTTGAAATGGAGGCTTATACCGAGTGGTACCATGCGGATAAATCCGCGATTTTGTGGTTACATGGAATTCGTCAGTCTCCTGTCTTACTTTCTCGGAGGTCTGGGATGTGATGTACTGATAATATTTCAAACTGAAGCAGGGGCCGGAAAGACCAAGCTTGCGTAATTCTCCCCTCCCCTCCTCCCCGGCCTTGTATCAGGGCTCATTCTGGTATAGATCTCTAGTAGTAGATGTCCATCTCGAGGAACTTCAAAGCTGTACGCATAGCGAGGGTTTCGCCTATTTCTACTGCAATCGTAACGAGCAAGACCGTCGTGACCCCGCGTCAATATTCCGCGCTCTCCTTAAACAGCTTTCCATTCACCCCAGAGTACCCGCGTTATATATATACGTCCCGTTATTCGAGAGTATGAGCTTCGTGAAAAGGAAGATTTCGCATCGGGTGACTTCTCATTCGATGAGTGTAAAACACTTATTATTGAGCTCCTCACTATAATCCCCAAAACGACAATTATTATAGACGGACTGGATGAATGCGATCTAAACAGCGCCAGTGATGATTGGACAAGAGATGAGCTATTAGACGCGTTGCAAGAGCTTGTCCGTACTCCCGTCAAAAGTTTAGTGAAGGTCTTCGTTTCAAGCAGGGAGGATCATGACATCATGAAGGCGTTCAAGAAGGTGCCAAATCTCTGCATCGGGCTCCCGGATAATGCAAAAGAGATAGCACAGTTTATAGACATGGAGGTGCGGAAAAAGATTGAAACCGAGAGGTTATTGGATGGAAACGTAGATAAGAGCCTAGAGGAGAAGATTTGTATGGCGCTGAAGAGAAAGGCAAATGGAATGTAAGAAGATACTAGAGAAAATATATGTAGAGAAGTGTAGTAATTGAGCGTGTCATTCCAATTAACTAGAGAAGGGGGAATGCCCCGTATTTATACTAAAGGAAGATAACACAAAACATAGTAAATCATAACCGTATAAGTAATAGAAAAACATGACTAATAAATACCAGGGAAAGAATGAGTCAAAACCCATGACTCATGATGACAAATGAGAATCCTCCAATACTATGAAATGTGATGAGCGTACTATTTTAAGAGATACTACTTCTCATCCATAACGATATTGCGTACTAAAGCTGTTTGTGACAGGTTCCTATGGGTCTATCTTCAAATCCAGGTATTGTGTACTATGAATACGGAAAGCGACATCATCGGAAGATTGGATAGTCTACCTACCAGCTTGGAGGAAGTCTTTAAAGATTAATTCATCCAAGGCATTGATAGGGAAGGAGGGAGAGGAAAGAGACTAGCTTATCTAGCCATGATGTGGAGGTTGTGCTCGACGGAACCGCTCTCCCCGGAGGAATTGGTAATAGGATCTGTCTCTGCCCTGAGGGTGGAATCCGCCAGCTCGTCTGCTACCATAGGCAGTGATGTTAATATCGAAACTATACTAAAGCTCTGCCACGGCCTAGTCGTCATCGATCACCAGCTGGAAGCGATTCGCACATGTGTCGGTACAAGGGTATTTGGAGACCCTCTGGAATGAGCAGGAAACCAATAGCATGGCTGCAGCAGTATGTTTGTCAATACTCTTGGGGAGTATTCCGCAGAACTTGTCCAACAGCCCCGTTATTTCGGAACCCAACTCAACTCTTACTCGACCGAGATACCACGATGAGTCCGAGAACGACGAGGATTGGTCAACCGAATACTCGACCGATGATCTCTATCATGGGTCTTTTATTTATGCGTTTCGCCAGTGGCATACACATGTGAGATTATGTGGCGATAGTATCACCGCGCCGAAAGTGGTGGAATTGTTAAAACGCTTTTTGGGTTCTTTTGAAACACCATCGCGTGCGTTTATCAACTGGCTTAAGACTTATGAATCCCTCGAGTCGTGGGACTTTTCAGAGTCGCTAGATCATCACAATAACTTTATCTGCTTTTCGCCCAGCATGATGCCGATGATTCGCTACTATGGGTTCACAGATATCATTATGGATATGTGGGCCTCGAATGAGAGTTTCGATGTCAGTATGGAGAACGGTTTCGGACACCCATTACTATCGATAGTATGTGGCCGGGGTAACGAATGAATTATCAGCGAACTCATAAAACGAGGGGCGAAGGTTGATCAGTTCTGCGCGCAATATGAAGTAGCACTGAACTATGCCTCCGAAAAGGGCCAGGAAGATGCTTTTCAGGTACTTCTTGATAATGAGGCAGACATCAATCACGTGGGTAGTAACAACGTATCAGCACTCAGCATAGAGACACACAACAGCCACAACGGCATAGCACAAATCCTCCTCAATAACGGAGGACACTGTTAGTACTTGTAAGCGAAGACAGAAGTGGTGGGGCGAGATAGGAAGGGGGCTCATGGGTGATCTTGGGGGACTCGTAATGGATCGAACATGTACCATATTTACACCTCCCTGTCTTCTCTCTCTCCTGTCTCCTCTGTTCTTGAAATCAACTCTTGTTCGTACTTTTCATCAACGTCCGTCAATAAAATTATGAATTCTCAACAGACACCAGCACATCAAACATGATCTGGAGATTGCATGTGATTATGGTCAACTTGCCGTACTAACCATTTTGCTTGGAGGTAGCGCTGATTCAGGCCATATACCGAATCCGCAATCGCGAAGGGCCTTAAGGTTCTACAATCAATCGGGAATCATTCTCTCCAACCAGGAGCAATGGTTGAAACCATCCATCACCTTATCACCCAAGCTTTCTTTCTGGTAATCTTATAGGGCTCAAAGGCTTGATAGACTGGGGCAGACCACATAATCCTCTCACTCTCCCCTCTCTATAACGATGCAGCTCAGGTAGTGAGAGGCCTCCGTACCCTAGATTGATAAAACAAGAACGCCTACTAAAAGAAGCTGGCATCCCATCCTTGGAACACCTCCTTACCTACTGATGAAGAAAATATAGCCCTCAAATTTTATACCAACCGCACGGTCACCTGATTAATGAAAAATTAGTTTTCCTTCTCCCACCACAAAAAATCAACATAAAAAGTACCGGCCAATACAGAATTGCTTCTCTTCTCTTTCCGTTCAAAAAACCAAGGGGCCCGCGGGAGAAATAGAACCAAATGAAACTCTTCAGTGAATGTATGCTGTAGGAGTAGAATATGCAACAAACCATTAACTACGATTATATTAGGTTGCTTAAATCTTATCCAAAGCTCTATAAACTCCCTCTCTCCAAAGCGAAACTAGTTTTCAGCATTCGGTGCTAGACAACTAAATTGAACAAATACGCTGCCTATATTGAACGTGAATATTGCCAATGTAGGATAGAACAATTATACAAATATACCTATTTGAATGCTCAGTATGGGTGAAATTATGAACTCGACTCCTCGATAAGATTCCAGGACCTGTCAAATGGCAGAACTGAATGTTCGATAACTTGAAGGTGTATTTTATTTTGGAATTCAACAAATATACAAAGTTACTTGAATGGTACAAGGATAGTGACTATCGGAAGGAGGAAGATTGATACTTTTCTATTATTTTTTTTGTACTTTTACGATAAAAATGTTTTGACTGATTGAGTGCTTGTTATTGTTTTTGGTGTATTTTCTGTATTGTTTTTGCGGTTGTTATTTTCTTATATTTTTGTTTTGTGTTTTTTTTTATTTCTGTTTCGTGCAGCAGCTCGGTTAGGTGTGTGATAAGTCTTGTACTTCGAAGTAATATAAACAAAACTAAATCTAAAACTTCTTCTCTCTGTACCTGTTTGTTTCAAAATCTATTTCAGTCTCCCGTTATCCGAACATAGTCTACCCAAATCCCAGGCTTCAGGTGGCCCAAATTGACTATTTTTTGATTCCACTCTATTTCGTTGGACTGTTCAGTCCCAGTCTGTTTGAACTTGAACGTATCCCAAATCGACCCGTATCTAAACCAAGCTCTGTTAGAGCCTAACAGCTCTCCATTGTAGACCTCCCGGTTATTATCAGCGTAGTGTTCTATACATCAAATAATATCAGACGTTGCATGTTACTCCATTTAGGAACTCACAACGTTAACATTTCGCGCAACTTCATTACATTATAATAATAATAATATATGACTGTTATAGGAATCACGGAATACTTTTCTAAGTCAAAGAACAGTTACGAAAACGAGTGACGAGTTATGCTGTAGAGAGGATCATATAATAGCAGGAATAAGTATAGAAAAGTATAGGGAAGTAGCGGAGTATTTGGTTTGACAACACTGGTATGAGCCTATTCTGACTGCAAACTCAATATTGGATGTTTCATTTGGAAGAGAAGTCAAGCAGGGTTTATAGCTGCAGGCTGTTCTACTTCAGGAAGTAGGTGTAGGATAATTGTATAATACTACTTGGTTACAGCCATTTGCAAGCTTCAAGGTTATGTGTCGGAATTGAATAGAGAATGGTACTATGCGTGTCACTTTTCTCTTGAGACTTATCTTCTGATTGATTGTTTTAGTTTATTATCATTTTCTTATTAGTATTAGAAAGTGGGCCTTAGTATAGTTTCTAAGTTGTATAAATAGGAGACAGTTCTGCTTTGAATTAGTAGTATCCTCAATCATCAAGAAAGCGGAAACTAATCTGTAATATTAAATCATTTGAAGCTACAGAATTATTACCTCGCATTGACATTTCCCCAAATAATGGTTAAAAACCATATATACCTGCATTTTGCTCAACTCACTCATGCAGCAACTCGCTACCTCTCCTGATCAACTCGCCATCGAACTCTGTTGGGAATTAATTCTGACGACCTCACAAGTCTGGTATTTAGTAGTTACTTTGTATTTCCAATGATGGCTTTGGTTATGCTGTCGGAAGATTTGAGCCATTACATGAGAGGCTACTGCGACAGGAGGTAACTAGCTCATCATCGATCAATAAGTGAGTGCTCTAATAAGAGTCAGAGTCTGGCCAGTGTGTGGCCTTTATCAAATGCCAAATTGTACTGAATTAGGCTGATTAGTGGTCATTGTATCGTCAGTGGATTCGAAACAGGCTGTCCAACCTACATATAGGTCGATTGGACAGTTGTTGAGAACGTTGAGTCAGACCACAGTGTCACACCTGGAACATACCTGTTTAATGGGCTGGACACTAGACTTCTTGTCCAGCTTCCTTTGTCGCGTTCGTTTTCAACTACAGTAGTTTCAAAAGTAAACCGTGTTAAAAAGTTGTACTGATCTATAAATAGTCAGTCCAGTTCAATTCAAGCTATTCTGTTAATAGTCCAGTTCAATCCAGTCTATATTTTGAATCAGACTGGTCTGTTTACCTACTTTGATATTCCTTCTTTTGGTATTTTATGGCTTTACTCCTCATTAACTCCGAATCAATTTTACCCAACACCGCCCCTCACATCCCTCACAGAGTCCAAAATATTTCAATCTCTACGATAAAACTAATATGAGAATATTACAATACATGTTACGTAATACTATAGACATAGACGAATACATAGACAATGATTGCTATAGAATACAATGAAGGTAGAGAATGTAAGCAGGGAACAATAACAATGGACTGTGGAAATACTCAAGTGGGTTATCTAGATCCTAGGATTTAGGTGATCTGACTCTATATAATATAGGATAAAAATAGTATTGTAAGCTAACAATCCAGAATGAACCAAGAAGGTTGCGTAAAGAGAAAAGAAAGAAACAGAACATCAACGAAAGACAGAACCTATTTATATACGCAATAATCCAGGTCTGAATCTGACTCATACTCTCATTTGATGGAAACCCATAGAATCCAAAGGAAATCCATATTACTAATCCTAACCTCATTGCCAAGTACTTCCACTTTACGACCTAACACAATATCCGATCATGATGCCAAGACGCTCTTACAGTACAGGGGTTCCATATCAAAGAACTGGTTTCTGGTGAGTGATGCGATAGTTGACAGAAATATTATGGACTGTATAACTTGGTGGTCAAACTGGTCCGGAGCTTAAATAGTCCAGCCGGTCCAGTCCGAGCGCGATGATAGTTGGTCCAGTCTAGTCCTGGGCAAAATTTAGACCAGTCCCGATTACTGAGACCTCTGTCCGGCCCTCGAGAACAGCAGACAATGCGAACATGAACACAGTGGATGACTATCGATAGGACCTCTTTTGTCAATCGATCAAGTCAATTGTCTTCGCTTATAGAAATATATACTTTGTCGCCCGTCAGTATTTGGGCCTTTCTGTAAGTACAGTTTATTACCGGGAGTGGTTCACCCACCGTATGCGGCCATCAGGAGATGATCACTCGCTGACTCAGCCGTCGGAGACATTTAGCTGCAGAGCAGAAGCACAAGGCTGACTAAACGCGGGAACTTGTAAGGCGACCAACAAACACTCAACCCCGCTCCCTCCGTGCAATCTCAATCTCCAGAGCACCTCTCTCTCCGTTGTGCTTCAATATGCTGCTGGAGCTTCCTCTCGAGCTGCTCCAGAAATGTATTCACTTCGTACGTTTCACTCCCGACGCTATATTCTGAGTTTTCGCTAAAGCTCATTCGATCCATACATGCGCAGGCAATATTCCCCCATACTGAAGGTACCGCGGTTATAACCAACATACCCCCCACGCCCCAGAACAAGAAAGCTCTCCAGTCGCTCCTCCTCACCTGCCGAGCCCTCTCCTCCGCCACCTTTTCCTACTCATTCTCCTCTCTCTCACTCTCGTTCGGGGACATCCGCGCACGCCTCCTCCCCCTCCTCCCTGCCCCCATCCTCGGCGCCTTTGTCCGGCAGCTCAACGCCTCCGGCACGTTATCTGCCAAACACGAGCGGTTTCGGAAGTGTGACGGCACCCCATGCACTGTGCACACGCTCCACCTCGTACACGACAACAGGGGCCAATGCAATGACAACGACATCTACACCGCAGCCCTCCACCGTCTTCCTGCACCTCCACACCCTCAAGGCCCTGTCCACCAACCATTTCGACGACCTCCCTGCCGCGCTACCCGCCTGGCCGTTGAGGAGCCTGTCTTGCCGCTATGGCTCTCACCTGCTTAGGCCCTAATCCCGCAACTGGAGGCTCACATCGCTCTCCCTGTGGGGCATCCCCGTCGCCCACGAACTGCTGTCGCCGTTCCTCAAGGAGCACGCGGGTACCCTGCAGGAGCTGGGGCTCGCCTTCTGGCGCCGCTACACGAGGGGCGATGTTATGGAGCTCCCGAAGATGCCGTGCCTGCGGAGGGTGAAGCTGTTTGCGGCGCTTGCTGGGCGCATCCGGGAGATGCAGGGGCTCGACATTGGTAGGCTGGAGAGGGTGCAGAGGGAGCAGGCGGCAATGGATAGGACGGTGGCGGATACGAAGGGGGGGAGGGGATTGAGAGGGATAGATTGGCGAGTTCGGCCGGAGGTGGTGAAGCAGGAGATAGACGTGCCGGGGGAGGCGCGGCGAGAGGTGGAGGTGGTGTATGATCTGTCGTATATGGATGTTTGGAGTGACGGGCTCACGTTCGATGTGGAGAGGAATGGAGAGGTGGTCAGGGTGTTGGTGGCAAGATGTGCGAGCTTGAAGACGGTGACGTTTTCGGGGGCGTAGGAGTCTTGGGGAGTTGGGACCGTTTTTGGAGTTGGGGTGTTTAGGGACGGAGTATCGCATTGGTTTTGGTGGAGAGGTATGGAATAATATGTGTGTTTTGCTGCGCAAATTGAGCATTCCGTTTCTGTTTCGGCCATCGCCTTGTTAGTTTATGATTGGTATGGAATATAATCAACGTATCCTAGCCAGAGTACGACAAAAGAAAAGTAGCGTCTCTTTATATCTTGCTATACGTAGACTTACTCGTAAAATCAATCCTCTGAGCACTCTGTAAACTGATAGACACAGACGGCATGTTCCCACACCTGTCCTTCCCCAGCAGTTCCTCTACCGGAAGCGCATGTAGACACTTGTGTACCCAGCCAGTCGCGACAACATAGAAGGCGATTCATACCGCTTTTATGTACCAACCTTTACACCAAGGAGACCCAAAATAATATATATATATCAGCGCTCTTACACTAACCTGATAGAGCATCCACCCACCGCCACAGCCATCCCACCACAAGCTGTTCAATACCCCCGACTGCGCCCGCACACATAGCCTAGCACGGCGGAAAGGCAGCCGTGGTATACGATCAGCGAGTTCAACAAACAAAGCGAAGACAAAAAAGAAAACCAAACACGGCACACAACAGCCGAGTGATAGTCCATGACGCCAAGCACAGAGAAAGAGACGTTGGGCCGTGGGCGGGAATTTGGAAGGCGCTTGGTCTCGAAGTCATTTCAGGCAGTACCTGGCGAGAGGTCTCGAGACATTGTAAATTGAAGAATTCATACAACCCTAACCCTGGTTTAATCTCTTAATCCTATACCACAAGGGCAAGCTATGGCAATATCTGACGTACCAAAATAACATGAAAAGGAAAATGCGTTGCCAGGAGGAGGTTCGGGCTCAAATAATGGCTTCAACGGCGACTTTGTGCGGTGTTTCTACTGCTTTTTCGGGTGCGCGTTTGCGGGCGCGCTTGGGGGACTTGTACTGCTTGCTACATGTTGCCCCTGTGTAGTAGCTAGCACCTTAAAGCGTGGTCGGGTGTGGTCTGGAACACTCAAGGATACGCGGCCTGGAAATGTGTTCAATCACAATGCCTAACAGTTCACTCGCAGAGTAATTGTGATGCTGTGTGGCCGCGAGCTAAGGAACTGATGCGTGCGGAATGGTCTTGGGGGTTCTGGATTTGCCGGTGAGAAAAGGCCAGTTCCTATCACCGACCGTGGTAAACTGTACAGCGATAGGAATTATCTATGGAAAAAACAGTTATACGGTGCACAGATATTTCGCTATACAATTTCACCCCCCTGTTTTTCCATAGATCCTTCCGGTCGCTGTACCTACATACATACCTACATGTGAATCAGCGGGTTGCCGATCTCTTGTCACACACGAGTCCGGCTATACTGACCGCCAGCCTTTTATGCATAAGTTCCCGTGGTTGGTGGCCAACACTCAATTCATAGAGTCAACCCTAGCACATGTAGTAGTAGGCTTGCTTCACACATCGGTGCAGGACTGATTCTTTGTCGATATCGGTATTTTCTTTGGTATCGGAATGCATTTATCCACTTGATGGGCTAGCTAACACCAATGGTTAGGCCGAATCCTGTCAGATTTCCTAGCCCTGGAATGTTTTCGTATGAGCTGTGTGTTCAGGGGTACTTTGCGTGTCTGTAATTATGACTTGGAAACTTGTATTGATGATGATTCTAAGCGAGGAGGAGAGCCTTCTACCTCTTGGTTAACCTAAGCCAATCTCTAACTACAACTTGTTCACTCGCTTAGTGGCCCTCACTGCCAATTCTCGTCAAGTCCTTCTTGTGTTACGGGGACTACTAGATGATAGGCCAGATTCGGCATAGCGCGCTTGCTACGCCAAAGCTTCTAGGAACATGTGGATTGCTGGCGACCGAAAACAATTAACCCCATTCTTATGACGTGATAACTACTTCCCTACATAAGAGCCAGCATGATCATGACGACACTAGAGTCTCAGTCTTAATTGCCATGGTTTCCTGGCTGCAGGTTGAATGAAGGAATGGCCGGCAGCACTTGGTGAGTAGCAGGTCAACCGGTTATCTATGTAGGCTATTTCCAGCCAAAATAACTACTCTCAGTTCAGCCTACTAGCCGACCGTTTTATACCTTTAATTTCCCAAATCGCAATATATACCGGATCGTCCATAACGAAGATACACTCAATCACAACTCCTACGACTCAAGTCATGAAGTCCACACTGTTCTTCTATTTTATCGTTTACTTCATGCCGTCATCGGCTGCTACCCTGGTGGAGGGATTCACGTTCTGCACATATAGGGTTTCCGGGACTTATGGTGTCAGCGCGCGATACATATTATACACGCTATACGCTACCGGTATCGCCATTCATAAAATTGACTGGCTAGTTGGCGCGAGTTTTGGGACCGCCATGCTCTTCAGTTCGGTCACTAGTGTCCACATGGTTGCAATGGAAGCCACACAGCGCCCGTACTATTACGACTCAGACACTGAGCCGGCGTTGACCATGATTATGTGCAGTCTTCTTGCCGCCTCCATGCTATTTGTGTGGTCATCGTCGTTTCGGAGGGCAACGGACGGTGCTCGAATCATGGTATTCGCATGGTTCTTCCTGATGATTGTGGGTTTCATCGCAGGTTTTGTATACATGAGCAGCGCCCTCTCTGACGAATTGCCGGACGGTAAGGAGTGCACGGATCATCTAGTCTTGAGGAAAGGACAAGAGTCCTTTGTCTCAAACCTTCGGTACACACCAGTTCCATTCTTCATCATTTTTACGATCTTACTCCCTCCACAATTGATTCTGGCACTCCGGTGTGGAATTATTCGACGAAGCCCAATTGCACTTTCGGACAGACCGGGCAAATACAAGGGGAGTCGCTTCATGTTGGGCCTCTTGAAGTTTGGAGTGTGGGAGAAAGTGACTCGAATATGGTTTGAACACGTGACCTTGTGAAGGAATATGTTTCGTAGACAAGAGATTATACTATAGCGCCGCTGAGGTTCCAGTGACAACTGTGGGAGTTTGTCGCTCCTTATATACAGATAAACCTAATACCACTTAATATCCATATTGCATAATCGCTGGCACTAAGCCTAATCTGAAACCCTTATTCCTATTATGAGTCATTCCTTATACATGAGTCATTACCATACATAACCAATATCGCAATACCACATTGCTACACTTCCCCTCACTTGCCATATCGTATCAATTCCGACAGTTTCTGGTGAGCTTGTTTCGATAGACAATTGGTCACTATGTCCGCGATATTATCTTCAGTTGGAAAATAGAGGAGCTCATAGGTTCCAGCCTCAAGTTGTTCACGTGTGTAGTGGTAGGGAACGTCGATATGCTTGCACCGGTCATAGATGCGTGGGTTCCAACATAGTTCGATAGAACCTGTATTTTCGGGGTGTATGAAGTACCGGTATTGCTGTTGGAGTTGGTACAATGCATTACGAATTCATACCAGTTGTCGAACCGTGAGGGACAGAGCCATATATTCAGATTCTGTTGTTGAGACTGCGACTGGTTTCTGCTTCTGTCTTCTCCAGCTGATGGCTGATTTTCCTCATCTGAACATGGATCCGGAGTACAATTTTCTGTCATTTAGGTTCGAAGCGTGGGAACTGTCTGAGAATCCATCGAGTATTGCAGTATTCCGTTTGGGGTAAAACAGGTTCCAGCCTTTGGTTACATTGAGGTATCGGAGAGTTCGCTTGGCTGCTCGTAGGTGGTTCTCATTTGGGCATGAGGAATACTGATATAGTGCGGTGACAGCATAAGTGATATCAGCTTTAGTTGCTATGCTCACGTATACTCGAGATCCTATTATGGATTGAAACTCAGTTGATATCTTGATTCGGTTTTCCGTTTCGCCCTTTTGGAGGTTGAGGTTCGGTTTGAGCGGTGTACCAACTGGTTTGCAGTTATTCATTCCAAATTTATCCAGGATCTTGTTGATGTATGCGTGTTGTGATAGCATGATACCATTTTCAGTTACCATTATTTCTATTTCCAGTATAAATTTCGACTTAACAAGACCCATACATTCGAAGTCTGCCTTGAGTAGTTGTCTGATCTCCTTTCTGAAGAGGGAATCAGGTCCGAATATTATGATCTCGTCTACATATACCGAGAGTTAAATCTGGTATTTCTTATGTATGAATACACGTGGGTCGAATTTGACTAGAATCCATACTTTCCGTTGAAGAGAGTCTGCTAAGGAAGCGTACCATTCATTGGGTGATTGTTTTAGTCCGTATATGCATTTCCGAAGTTTACAAACCTTATTGTCCTGCCTGTAGCCTTCAGGCAGTTACACGCAAATTTCCTGCTTGAGTATACTGTAGAGGAAGGCTGGCTTGACTTCTATTTGCTGTGGTATCCAAACGTTGTTTGGAGCTAGTGCTAGTAGAAGCCCTAGGGAATCGTATCCGGCAACTGGGTTGAAGGTCTCATCGTAGTCTTGGTACTGTACTTGGATGAACTCTTTCAAAATGTATCTTGCTTTGTACCTTTCAATTGTTCCATCCGTATTGTGTTTTACCTTGAATACCCATTTTTCTTTGATTGTTGCTCGGTTGGTTAGTCATTTGATAATGTCTCAGGTGTGGGGCTTATATAGGGCGCTTTTCTCAGTCTGTATCGCTTTTTTCCATATGTTATGATCATTGCTTTGCATCGCTTGATTGAAAGTAAAAGATTCGGTTACTACGTGTATTCGATGATTGGAGGTAACCAAGTTGTCGAACTCCCTTTGTAGCTTAACTTTAGACTTTTTATGTTCTGAACTTGCTGCTTCCATTACTAATTTTCTCATTATTATATCCATGTCTTCATCCGCTGGTATTTCTGATACTTACTTGTCAAAGGTTTTTTGCCAATTCGGTTATCTTTTGTCGAATTGTCTCACGTCTTCCTTCTATATCCTGCTATATTTTTTTCTCTATCTTTTTCTGTATGCAATATGATCTTCTTGGAGCTTCTGGTCCGAGGTTCTACAGTTGTTTACCTTTCCCGGATGTGACTGATCTTTCTGAGAATGATTCTGGTTGTTCTGATTAGTATATCATTTATCAGATTGTATAAGGTGACGTCTGGGATTGAGTCCCGTCAACCTGGCTTGCAGTCTACTTGTGTCTTCCTCTAGGTTTCCTTCAATTTCTAACGATTCGGGTTTTGGATCAGGCCCATCTTTTTCATGGATCGATTAGTTAATACACTGGGTTACGAGGAGTTGGATTAGTCAGAAAGGTTCTATTGAGTTCTATTGGGTTCCGTCGGTTATAAGTGTATGAGTTACCTTGGATTTGTCATCGTTGGGATTTCCTTGGGTATATTAGAAGGTTTCGCTCTTGTTTCTGTTTTCTTTCTCTTCTTTCTTTTGATACGCAACGTCTTCTGTACCTACGCTGTCTATTACTATATAATAATATCTCTTATTCTTTGCCCAAGAATACCATCATGCCGCTGCTTCCCTTCTCCCGTTGAACCCTACCAATGCTAGAGCCCCTCAGGACTCCTATCGCAGGCGACTATACCGACCTCTACTACCCCATTCGTACCCTACGGAATACTCGCTACTCGCCCCCTTGAGATTTCGTTGCGTCGTTATCCGTACCGTACGACATGTCCACCCCCGATCCACCTACATAGGTCCCATCCAACGATATAGAAGAATTCAAGCGGCAGTATGATGTCGATGCTTCTGACTTATTTAACCACATCGCCGTTCTTATTCAACGTATCCGCCACGAGAGGGATACTACTCGTACACAACTCGCTGCCGCCCATGAAACCATCGACAACCTTGAAGAGCAGGTAACCCAGCTCAACCTTGACCTTAATGTCGCTCGCGCCGCCCCCGCCCCTACCGCCCCTGTCCCCGTTGTCGCTGCTCCCCCACCTACTACCGTCTCCACCTTTAGGTCCGAGAAGTTCCCAGACCCTGAAAAATTTGATGGTACCCATACCAAGCTACCTGGATTCATCACCCAACTCCAAATGAAACTTGAGGTCAACGACGATCGATTCCGCAACGAGGCAGCAAAAGTTATCTATGCCGTCAGCTGCTTGGAAGGAAGGGCCCTTGATCAGGCCGTTCCACTCGTTAACGCTAACCCTGCTGCCCCCTTCTCCTCTGCCACTGCCTTCGTCACCCACCTGGAAGCCTCGTTTGGAGACCCAGATCCCCGGGGTACCGCACGTCGCCAACTCGTCGCCCTGAAGCAATGCAAAGGAGACTTTGCCACCTATTACTCACAGTTCCTCCGTATCATGGCCTATCTAGACTTCAATGAAGGAGTCAAGATCGATGCCCTAGCTGAAGGACTGTCAGAAGATCTGAAGGACGCCATGACATACCGGACGGATAGGCTTAACACTGTAGAGGCATACGCGACTATGTTAATGACAATCGACAACCAGATTCTGGGCCGTAAGGCTGAACAACGGGCCATTCGCAACACGATGGGACAATTTACTACCCCCGCCGCTGCGGCAGACCCATTCCATACCGCTGGAGGTCTCGCCTCAATGGACCTCTCCACCCTCCAAACTCGTTCCGCTCAACGCCCTACCGCCGAACAACGATATACCTTTGTCAATGGACAATGCAAAACCTCCGCCGCTGAAAAACAATGGCGCAGGGACAACAATCTCTGCATGTACTGCACCAACCCCGGCCATGTCTTCGCCAACTGTCCCTCTGCCAATCGTCTGCGTGGCAACCAACCGGTCATGAGGAGCGCTCTCCTCGCACCCGCTCATAATGCTGCCGACCCCGCTGTTCCGCCGATCGCCAGTTCCACCTCCTCTGAGTTGGATTTTCAGTAGTACTGGGCTTGATCAATGACCCCTGCCCAGGACCTTCTAATGTTTCTCCTTTATCTGCGTTCTCTATCTCTGGCTTCTCGGTATCGTCTGTGGAGCATAAATCGGATGGGGATCATTTTGTTGCTTCTTGTAAAATTGTAAACAATAAAATATCCATTCAAACCCACGCATTGATTGATACCGGGTGCTCCGGGTTCACATTCATTGATGAAACATTCGCGCGCCACAATAGCCTTCCATTTCTCCCCCTTAAATCACCCCGCACTATTGAAGTCATCGACGAGCGGCCTATATCCTCCGGACAGATCACCCACCTATGCTACCTACCACTGTCAATTGACTCCCATTACGAAACTATTCCCTTATTCGTCACCAAACTTGGCTCCTACCCACTCATACTCGGGATCCCTTGGCTTCAACTACATGACGCCACACTGCGGTTCAAAGACAATAGCATACTGTTCGACTCCGAATACTGCAAGCGCAAGTGCAACTTCTCCGCAAAGCCCGTTCCCATTAAAGGAATTGCACCACCACTCCGCTTCCACCTCGTCAGTTCAGCTGCCCTCTGCCGTTTTGCTCGAAGGGACAAACTCCAAATCTTCAGCATAACTATAGAGGAAATCGATCAAGCTATGGGCAAGGCCCCCAAGGAAGACTGGAGAAACCGGGTTCCAACCCGGTACAAGAGGTTCCATAAGATGATGGACGAGAAGTTTGCGAACGAAATACCACCACACTGTTCCTATGACCATAAGATACCGCTCAAGGAAGGAAAGGAACCTCCGTTTGGGCCGCTCTATTGTATGTCCCGCGAGGGACTTATCGTGCTCAAGCAATATATACAGGATAACCTTGAAAAGGCCTTTATCCAGGCCAGCTCTTCCCCCACCGGTGCCCCCATCCTATTTGTTAAAAAAGCTGATAGAACACCCCGTCTCTGCATAGATTATCGTGGCCTTAATGAACTTACCGTAAAAAACCGCTACCCATTGCCGCTTATCCGGGAAACTCTCGACTACCTCTCCAAAGCCAAGTGGTACACCAAACGCGACCTTCGTCAAGGGTATAACCAGATCTGAATGACTGAGGGTGAAGAATGGAAAACAGCTTTTCATACGCGTTATGGGCATTTCGAATACATGGTAATGCCTTTTGGCCTCACCAACGTCCCAGCCACCTTCCAACACTTTATCAAAGATCGGGTCCATGACTACCTCGATATGTTCTGTACAGCCTACCTTGACGATATTCTCATCTATAGCGACACCGTCGAGGAACATCAAGTACATGTCGAGAAAGTCTTGGAGGCCCTACAAAGAAATGGAGTACTGCTGAAATCAGAGAAATGCGAGTTTCTATCACGGGACTATAGGCGATGGACTGTGGTGCCAAGGAATACAACCTAGGTAGTGACGTAGACGTGGACGTAGACGTAAAGGTATACTTTGACTATGGACTATGGGGTGGCTCTACCTGGTATGATAAAACCAGTTGGAACCCTATGACGTGGTGCGGACAAAGAATAGTATTCGTAGAATAAATACAGAGAGAGAGAGAGAGAATCTTATATTGCATAGAAGCCGAAGCTTATCGCACACCTAACTACCCGACTACAACCTCCACCGACTAACCCGAAAGCAAAAACAAAGTACAAAAACTAACTACCGCAGCTACGAGAACTACGTACATAAATAAAAGTAAACGACGCACGAAGAGGGCGCAAATAACAAGTGGTACAGGTAAGCAGAATCTAAGCGACAACAAAGAAACCTCCCCGTAGTAAAAGTAAGAACCCCAAACTTCTCCGTCAACTGCATTAGCGAGCACAATCCTAAACGTAGTGTTCAATCGAAACGATATCATTACCAACGTTCCCGGTGTCATATCTGTGGACGAACCTTAACAGGACTGGGAAACCACGCGCACGAAGGCAGAAGAGGCCAACCGCAACAGCGTCAGGTGTGAAAGCGAGGGGGGGTGGGTCGAGTGTGGGTCCTCGGGCTTCTGGTTGTCAGGCAGCGAGGAATTGAGGAGTGGTGATGACCGGTAGGTCAAGTAAGGAGTGGGTGGGGTCGTCGGTCCCTGGAGCAACGGCTAAAGACTGTGCCCGAGTCGTGTTTGAAGTAGTGTCCTCTGGAGGGGACATGCAAAAGGGGGTGAGCCGGAAGCTCAGTATGTATGGGGGTCGCAATCGAAAGTGCCGACCGTATTGTGTTGAGGGTGGTCTCGGAGACCGGTTGGGCTGGGGTGAGGGGAGCGGGCCGCCTCGGGTAAAAAAGGGTTGCCTGGTTAAGGCCGATAAAGAGGGGTAAGGTCACGGGACCTCGGGTAAAAAATTTGACGATACTTTCGCGACCGAGAGGTCGCTAACTTCGCGGGCTGTCGAGCGCTTTGGCAGTAGGTTCTCGCTGACTGGAGATTACTGACAGTGTGCGTACCCGACGTGTGGGATCACTCGTGCGATGAGTGAAAGTAAGGAGGGGCGAAGGCGGCTTTCGAGAGTAGCCGCTGGTTTGGCGAGGGGTGAACGGTGGACGCATCCCGTGAGGCCACCGAACGAGCAAAGAATGGGGGGTGTCGAGCGAGGAAAGTTCAGGGACCGAAGCAATTCGAGAATCAGTATAACTCCATCTCGGGGGAAAGAAATCCTACCGCGAGCCAGAGGCGAGCGGGTAGAATACAGAGGTTGCGTAAAGAAAGAAGAGAAGAAGGAAAACAAACAAAAGCACAAAACAACGCCCCCTTATATATCCAACCATAGTCCAATAATGACTAATACCTTCGCGTAACAGAAACCAAAAGAACATAACAGAAATCCCCATTACAAATCCTAATTTCACTACACAATACCTCCTTCCCTCGTTCCAGTCTATCAACTAGCCAAAATACATAGCTGCCGTTACAGATCACGCCCCTCTCTAAGGCCTACCTCCTGGTAGGCTTAGGCTTCCCTGGATAACGTTCGTGAAATCGTTTAACGATATCAGGTGAATGCTCAAGGTCCGATAGTGGTTGCCAGGAGGCTTCATCATATCCCGTATATCGTACCAAATACTCAAATTTTCCTCTTCGTTTTCTCGAATCCAAGATATCCTCGACTTCCCATTCTTCCTCTCCTTCGATTTCAACCGGAGGTGGTGGCAACTGTTGTTGTCCCGGTAAAGGATCGTTCGCATCGGGTGACAATAGCGAAACATGAAACACTGGATGAATTTTCATTGACCGAGGAAGTTCCAACTCGTAAGCATAGGGATTGACAATGCGCTTAACGTTATAAGGTCCAATACGTTTCCAGTCGAATTTCTTAGAAGGTCGCTTTGTTAGAATATGACGGGTCGATAGGAAAACCTTATCTCCTAAATAGTATCGAGGAGCTGGAGTTCGATTTCTATTGGCTGATTCTTCTTGTATCCTTTGCGCTCGAAACATCTCTTCCCTTAGGAAATCCACTACATCCTTCATTTCCCTTGCAATACGGTTCGCTTGATCCTCCGCCGTCGTTCGACCATGTTCCAAAGGACCAAAAGTCATTCTTGGATTTCTTCCCGAATTGGCATAGAACGGGGAGACCTTTGTTGTTTCGGAAGCATGGTTGTTCGTCGCAAATTCAGCCATTGATAGCATTCGAGCCCAATCGTCTTGTTGATAGGAAACATAACTTCGGAGGTACTGTTCCATTACGGCATTAATTCTTTCCGTTTGTCCATCTGTTTGGGGGTGAAATGCGGTAGAGAATTTTGGTGATATTTCCAACCGATCACAAAGCGACCTACAGAACTCTGCAACGAACTGTGTTCCTCGATCGGATACGATAGTATCTGGTAATCCATGTAGCTTCCAAACGTTATCGATATATAGCCTCGCTACTTCCTTTGAATCTGCCTCTTTAGTCGTTGGTATTAGATGTCGCATCTTGGTTAATCTATCCACCACAACTAAGATTGCATCGTATCCATCGCTCTCAGGAAGATCAGTGACAAAATCCATCGATATATCCATCCATGGTCCTTCAGGTATCGGCATAGGTCGGAGTACTCCGTAAGGTGCATTACGTGGTGCCTTGCTACGGACACACACATTGCAATTCCTAACGTATTGATCAACATATTTTCGCATTTGTGGCCAATAATATTCTCGGTTTAGAAGTTCCAATGTCTTTGCTCTCCCCGGATGTCCTGCGGATGGTTTATCATGGTATTCTTTCAAAAGCCTTAGTCGGAGGTCATCGTCGTCTGGTACATATAGCATGCCTCGGTAAAGCAACCGACCGTTGTTATCTTCCGTACATTCGGCAAGTGAGATTTTATTTGAGTGGCGAATGCCATTCCGAAGCATATTGAGGACCTTGTTTGGGAAACTATCCACTTGGTAAGCTTTTGAAAATAACTCCTCTACGGTGGACGCTCCTTCAGCGGATTCATTTGACAAAGAACCCGCGAACAAACTTAGCTTGGTATCCAAATTTTTTCGCTTCAGAATCACTTGACTCTGATGCGTCAACCGTTCATCCCCCTCTTTAGGTAGGTCACCTGACCTCCTAGTCAATGCATCTGGTTTTGTTCCTTGTTTCCCTGGCCGAAATTGTATAACGAAATCAAAGCGTGAAAGAAATTCGGACCAACGGGCTTGTCGACGATTTAACAATTTTGTTGTCATAAAATACTCAAGATTCCGATGGTCCCTAAGAACTTCAATTGGGAATTGAGCTCCCTCCAGGTGGTGTCGCCATTCTTCGAAACATCGTATAATTGCTAAAAGTTCTTTGTCATAGATTTCGTAGTTACATTCTGCAGGAGAATGTTTCTTAGAAAAGAAAGCAACTGGATGTAGGATTCCTTCATTGTCGCGTTGAGATAGGATTCCTGCTGAAACATAGTCAGATGCATCGGTTTCTATTACGATTTTTCGATCCGGATTAAAATGAGCTAGAATTGGCGCCGTTGTAAACATCTTTTTCAAAGTTTGAAATGCTTCCTCCCTTTCATTCGTCCAATCAAATTTAATATTCTTCTTCGTCAAGGCTGTAAGTGGAGCAACAATTTTCGAATATCCTAGAATGAATCGCCGATAGAAATTTGCAAATCCTAGACATACTTGAACATCGCGAAGATTTGTCGGTGTGGTCCATTCCGAAACATCAATAACTTTCTTTGGGTCCATTCTATTTCCATTCGGAGTAAGAATTAAACCGAGATATTTCGTTTCCTGAACCATAAATTCACAATTTTCAGGTTTAAGGTGAACATGATTCTTATCAAGTACTTTTAGAACCTTTTGAATGTGTTCTTTATGTTCTGATAGAGTTTCGGAATAGATAAGGATATCGTCTAAGTATGCCGTTACGAATTGGTCGAGATAGGGACGTAAAATATCATTGATCCAATGTTGAAATATAGCAGGGGCATTAGCTAATCCAAATGGCATTACTGTATATTCAAAATGTCCATATCGAGTTCGAAATGCCGTTTTCCATTCATCTCCCTACGCTATCCTGATTTGATTATATCCCCAACGTAAATCCAACTTTGTATAGTATTTTGCTCTTGAAAACTTAGCTAGGGTTTCCTTTAACAATGGTAACGGATATCGATTTTTAATTGTAATCGCATTTAGGCCTCGATAGTCAACACAAAGTCGAAGAGTTCCATCGTTTTTCTTCACGAACAATATAGGTGCTCCCGCTGGTGATTCGCTGGCTCGAATGAATCCTTTAGGTAAATTTTCATCAAGATATTCCCGTAGTGCCTTTAATTCGATTTGAGACAATCCATATATAGGTCCGTATGGTGGTCGTTTGCCTTCTTCCAATACTATTTCAATATCATGGGATGGTCGATGGGGTGGAAGAATGGAAGCATCGTATTCTTTAAACATATGGAGACGATGATGAAATTCCTTCGGTACTAATTGTTCAATGTCGACAGTAGATTTTTCAGTTGCTGAAACAATGACTGTGTGGTATTCCGGTAGGGGAATCGAGATGCCATGAACAATAACTGCAGTTCCACTGATTGAACAGTGCTGATGACAGTTTCGAGAGTCAAAAACAAGTAGATTTTCTTTTGGTCGAATCGTAATATCATGTCGTCGCATCCAAGGTATCCCCATCACAATCGGATAGTGTCCTAACTTTGTCACAAAACATGGAGCTATCTCTCGATGACCATGAATATCCAGCGAAACATCGACAATATGAGTAATTTTTCCTGACGTAATAGGCCTCCCGTCTATAACATCTACATGGCGAGGTATTTTAAGGGGGGTCATGGTGAGATTGTTGTGGCGTGCAAAAGATTCATCAATAAAAGCATATCCTGATGCTCCGGTATCAATAAGGGCGTAGGTAGGTATGAACGAATTTTTATTCTGTGAAATCGAACAAGTTACTACAAGTTGATTTCCATCCATTTCTTCCTCAGATACCGAAAAACCAGAAATACACATCCTAGAAAAATCCTTAAATGGTCCCTGAGCTAAGCCACTTAGTGCAGGGACAAATCTTTTGCCGACTCGTTATCGCTTCCAGCGTTTTCCTCCACCGTCAATGCTGCTCCCCTCATCACAGGTCTCCTTGGCTGATTTCCAGTTGCCCTCGCTTGGGGGCAATCCCTAACCATATGTCCGACACCTCCACAATAGAAACATCGGCCCTCAGCTAAGCGGGCGTTTCTTTCGGCAGGGGTAGGGCGACGACGTCCTCCAGACAGGTCCATGGGTACATCACCTCCAGGACGGAACGAGGGGTGATTATCAGTGGCAGGTGGGTTGACAGCAGGGGCAACGGGACGGGGAGCAGGAACAGGATTTGTTGGTAGAGGATGCGGAGCCGGGGTTACAGCAGTAGTCCAAGGTTTTTTACTACCTCGCTTAGCTTCCGCCGCCCGTCGTCGGTTATCCAACCGTTGCAAGAGTGTTGCACAACCATCTACCGTTGCGGGAGTCTCATGGTGTATCATCGATTCATACAGTTCCCCATTAATTCCTTCCATCAAAGCTTCAATCCGAGAGACTTCATCCACACCCGACTCAGCAGCATACCGTTGAAACTCAGCGAAGTAGTCAGCGAAAGTTTGAGTGTGTTGTCTGATATTTCGGAGATTTCTCCTAGCTGTACGCATTCGATCGGGGTCCCCAAAAGCTGTATCCAGAATTTCATAAAACCGTGTCATAGAAGGTAAGGCAATACCTTCTTCTCTCATGTACTGTAAGAATTGATTGGCAGCAGCGCCTTCCAATCTGCTGAACGCATACGATAGCTTAGACTGTAGTGTAGGATAGCGATCAATATTTCCCAGTAACTTGATTTTCATTTGTTGCTTAAATAAGTGTAACCTTTCTCGATCACGATCCCCCCTAAACACATCGGGATCCGGGAGTTTCTCCGACCGATAGGTGGTACCTGTAACTGGTGGCGCTGGAGGTACAGGTGGAGCATTGTTTCCAATAGGTTCTTCGTCAGGGGCCACAACCTCAACAGCAGTTCGTTGAGCTCGGGCAGCAGTAAGATCTCGTTCAAATATCCTTCTTGCCCTCTCAGCCTCCGCTTCTATCTCTTGTAAATCCGCTGCATATTGAATGAGACTATTTTGACACTGTTGAAGAAGCGCATAAGCTTCAGCTCCGACAACGTGATCGACCTGTGGATGCGCTTCAAAAAATCTTTGGAGGTTATCGTTGAGTTGTTGATAATCGACATGGACATGTTCCGACATTGTAGACTATGGTGTTGTATTGGTTGGCGATAGAGGACGCAACCTACGTATCACGGGGACTATAGGCGATGGACTGTGGTGCCAAGGAATACAACCTAGGTAGTGACGTAGACGTGGACGTAGACGTAAAGGTATACTTTGACTATGGACTATGGGGTGGCTCTACCTGGTATGATAAAACCAGTTGGAACCATATGACGTGGTGCGGACAAAGAATAGTATTCGTGGAATAAATACAGAGGTTGGGTAAAGAAAGAAGAGAAGAAGGAAAACAAACAAAAGCACAAAACAACGCCCCCTTATATATCCAACCATAGTCCAATAATGACTAATACCTTCGCGTAACAGAAACCAAAAGAACATAACAGAAATCCCCATTACAAATCCTAATTCCACTACACAATACCTCCTTCCCTCGTTCCAGTCTATCAACTAGCCAAAATACATAGCTGCCGTTACAGTTTCACACACAAAGTACTACCTATCTCGGCCTCATCATCGAACCCAATGGCATTAAAATGGATCCAAGGAAGGTGGATACAGTGAAGAATTGGACCGTCCCCAAAACACTTAAGGATGTGCAAGCATTCCTGAGGTTCGCTAACTTTTACCGCCGATTCATACGTGGGTTCTCGGAACTGGCTTCTCCCCTTACCAGACTGACACGCAAGGACATACCGTTCGGATGGACACCCGAAGCCCAAGCTGCCTTCAACGCTCTGAAAGAAGCCTTCACAACCGCTCCCATCCTCACCCATTTCGACCCCGAGAAGGAAATTACTGTCAAGACCGATGCATCTGACTACGTCTCTGCCAGTGTATTCTCTCAATACGATGATAATGGTACCCTTCGACCCATCGCGTACTGCTCAAAGAAGCACTCCCCCGCCGAATGCAACTACGAGATTTATGACAAAGAATTACTGGCGATCATTCGATCCTTTGAAGAATGGCGACCGGAACTTGAAGGGGCTACACACCCAATCGCCATCATATCCGATCATAAGAATCTCGAATACTTAATGAGCACTAAACAACTCAATCGGAGACAAGCATTCTGGGCGGAATACCTCTCACGGTTTAATTTTGTCATCAAATACCGACCAGGGAAACAAGGAGGAAAACCGGATGCACTGACAAGGAGATCAGGAGATCTCCCTGCAGAGGGGAATGAAAGGCAATTACACCAGAGTCAAGTCGTATTGAAAAAGGAGAATCTTGAAGCAAAGCTAAGTTTGTTGGTGGGTTCTTTGTCAAATGAACCCGCTGAAAAGAACGCCTCACCGAGTATATCATTTGATGAAGGATATAACGCTGACCCATTCCTACAAAGGATACTGGACATGCGGAACAAAGGTGAACGACAATCAAAGCACATATCACTTGCCGAATGCACCGAGGTTGAAGGCAGATTGCTCTACCGAGGGAGCATATATGTACCTAACTAGGACCCTCTTAAACTCCGGATCCTCATACTGTACCACGACGCTGTCTCCGCCGGACACCCTGGACGCGAAAAATGTTTGAACTTAACAGTCGAGACTACTACTGACCCCTGATGTGGAATTATATTGTCCGCTATGTCCCGAACTGCCACACCTGTCAACGAAGTAAACCCAACACCCATAGAAAACTCGACGTACTTCGACCTTTACCGATTCCCGAACAACTATGGCAAGAGGTATCAATGGACTTCGTTACTGGCCTACCGGAGAGTGAAGGGTACGATGCAATTATGGTAGTTGTTGGGCGGTTAACAAAGATGCGACATCTCTTACCCTGCAACACCACCGTCAACTCCGAAGACGTCGCCCAGTTATACCTGCGAAACATATAGAAACTCCATGGGCTACCCACACATGTCACCTCCGACCGCGGCTCGCAATTTACAGCCAAATTCTGGAATGCTCTCTGTAAACACCTCGGCATCGAAGCGAGAATGTCCACCGCCTTCCACCTGGAGACCGATGGCCAAACTGAAAAACTGAACGCTGTAATGGAACAATACCTACGCGGATACGTCTCATACCAACAGGACGATTGGGTTAAATGGCTCCCTATGGCAGAATTCTCTGCCAGCAACCAGGTTTCCGCATCCACTAAAGCTACACCATTTTTTGCGAACTATGGCTTCCACCCCCGGTTTACAGTGACGATCAAACCGCTTGACAGGACCCCACCGAGCCTCAACGCTAAGGACTTCGCTTCGAAGATGAAGGAGCTCCACGAACAGCTACGTTCCAATATCCGTACGGTGCAGGACCAACAAGAACAAGCTGTTAATGCGAAACGAACGCCGGCCCCACGCTACAATATTGGCGATATGGTGTTTGTTTCAGCAAAAAATATCCGAACCACCCGTAACTCTCGAAAGTTAGACTGGAAGAAGCTGGGAACGTTCCCCATCAAGGAAATCATATCGCCGTATACGTGCCGAATCGACCTGCCTAGGGGTATGAAAATGCACCCCGTGTTCCATGTATCGTTGCTAGACCCCGCTGCAAATGATCCTGTCCCAGGGCAAATCCAACCACCACCCCCACCTATCATCGTTGAACAGAAAGAGGAGTACGCGGTTGAAGAAATCCTGGACTCACGAGAAACCAAGAATAACGGCCTGCAATATTTCGTTAAATGGGCAGGCTATACCGACCCCACCTGGGAACCCACCGCACACCACGACAATACCGCCGCCGTTGATATCTTCCATAGACGCTACCCTGACAAACCCAGACAATTGGAAGTAAAAGTTAAGGTTAAGGTTCGGAGGAGCTCGCGCTTGAAGGGAGGGGCTACTTTCATGGATCAATTAGTGAATACACTGGGTTACAAGGAGTTGGATTAGTTAGAAAGGTTCTATTGAGTTCTATTGGGTTCCGTCGGTTATAAGTATATGAGGTACCTTGGATTTGTCATCGCTGAGATTTTCTTGAGTATATTTGGATGTTTCGCTCTTGTTTCTGTTCTCTTTCTCTTCTTTCTTTTGATACGCAACGTCTTCTGTACCTACGATGGCTATTACTATATAATATTATCTCCTCTTCTTTACCCAAGGAGACCACCGTGCCGCTGCTTCCCTTGTCCCGTTGACCCCTACCAATGCTAGAGCCCCTCAGGACTCCTATCGCAGGCTCCCATACCGACCTCTACTACCCCATTCGTACCCTGCGGAATACTTGCTACTCGGCCCCTTGAGAGTCTTCTGATTCATATCCGTCGTATATTGGTACAGAAGGCCTCTGATCTCAGAATAGGGGTGTACTCGAGTTCCACTGATACTTCCCCTGATTCAAGAGAGGGGAATATAAACTCCCAACTTAGAACTAACCTATGTTGTGATGCAATCCAGGTGTGGTAGTGTTTTGTACAGTCTGAGTATCCAACTATTCTTTCTTCGTACACTCGGGGTACTAGTTTGCTTCCTGCTGGCTTAGAGTTTCTGGGATTTGGACATAGCATTTCTTACTGAACGGTTGGAGGTGTTGGATACTTGGCTTTATTCCTTTCAGGGCCTCATAAGATGTCTTTCCTTTGAGTGTATTATGAGATAGCCTAATTTTGAGGTAGACAGGTTTTGAATATGCTTTGCCCCTATAACGACTTGGGATTGTGCATGATAATGCACTTGACCATTGTAGTTACGATCCTATTGAATCGTTCTGTAACTCCGTTTGATTCTGGAGTGTATGGGGGAGTCTGTTCGTGAACTATTCCTTGTGAGTTGATGTTACGAACCTTATTTCGGCCTAGCCCCAAAACTACGAAACGGATCCGTTATGCGAAAGGGAGTGAGTCATCATAAGTCTCCGAGAGTTTCCTTGGTATTAGTAATCGGTTGTTATCGGTTGTCATTTCCTTTTTATATAAGAGTCTCTTACCCCCTTGTCTATCTTTCCTTTCTTCTCTACGCAACATCCTGTATTATACTTTGAGTTATTACTTTGGGGGATTTACTTCGCTTCACTACACACCTCATCTAAAGTCATGTTACGTCTGCTATCCCTAAAAGACTATCTCTATTGCCATTGCTATTCTCTTGGTCCTCTCGACCATCGCTGCTCCCCTCATGGCCATCGTTACCTTTGCTGTCTCCCCCTCAGTCGTAAAGACCCTTATTGCCTTCGCTGTCTTCCTCGTCCTTGCACGAGTCACCCTTTGTGCCCTCGCAAGCATTGCTGTCCTCACCCTCGGGCAAACTCCCTTGATGTCTCTCAACCCTTATACCTATGCCTCGCCCATAGTTCTTTACAGTTGAGGTAGTCCATCATAACCTTGTTGATGTATTCACCATCAGCATCCGTCCTGAATCTCAGTATTGTTATTTTATACTGTTTTTCGATTTTTATGACGTAGTCTCTGATGGCTTTCTTTGCATCTTCTTTCCACTTTAGAATATATATCCAAAAAAATTAAATATAATCGTCGATGAAGGACATATAGTACTGAGATTTCCCTTGTGACTGTATGCTGAACTTTCCAGATATGTCTGAGTGGATTAGTTCGAATGGTCGTTTGGATCTAGTACTGATTGGTAAAGGTTTCTTGTGTATGCTTTGAGATAGTGCACATTGGCTGCAGTGGAAGTCTTCTGGCTTGGGAGATAGTTTTTGAATATCATCATAGAAGTTTTCTGGGGCCGTACGGTGGCCCAAAGCTTATTGTTATTCTTCGTAAGAGGTCAAACGAACTGTATTACTAACTATTTGTACATTCCAAAGTGACCTTTCCAATTTTGCCCACATTATTCCCTTACCCTTTTTCGTGACCAATTTTCTTCCTGCTCCGGACTTTGTTCTAAATTCTTTTTTGTCGAGTATGGTCTCGGAGACCAATTCCACATTTCCTAGGGTTGACACCAACAACATATCGGTGAGGAGTATGGGATCTACTTCTATTGGGAAGGTGGCAGTTGAAACTAGCGCTTCCCATTCCGGTGATAGGGTACTTGATTCCATCAGCTATTCGGATGTTGCTGATGTGAGGTTGGGTATCGATGAGTTGATCTTTGAAGGTATCGATGTGAGAGGTAGCTCCAGAATCAAGGATCCATATAAGGGGTTGGGATTTGTGGCGTACTATCACGATTGTGGTTGCAGAGTCATGGATTGGAACCGACGCTGAATGATCCTTTCATTTCCCCTTCTTGTTCCAGTCCCATTTCTCATTCTGTTCTTTGAACTTTCTGCACTCCGTGTATTCATGGCTTTTGAATGATTGGCCTCCTTTCTTGCACCAGGTGCATTACTTGTAGCTTGATGTAGTATTCTTGGTATAAAACACCTTGTTGTTCTCTGTAACAGGAGCTTCCTCATAGAGTGCGAGGAGTCAATGGCATCACTCTTCGTAGGTAACATCCTGTTTGGTCTGTATGTTATCGATGACTTTGCTCATCGATTTGAGTAGCGAGCTGAGAAGAAATACTGCCATGGCTTCATTGGATCTGTTGAGAGGTAGAAGTGCCTCAGCAAGTTTGTGGTCTACACTTTAGCATCTGGTCTTGAGGATTGTCCAGTTCGTGTTGAAGGTTTCAAGGTACTCAGCTAGGTTCTTGTTTTCTTGCATCTTTGTGTCTAGAAAATAGCTGAGGAGGGTGATCGTGGTGTTGGGTGAGACACGATGTTAGAGTTGTTCCAACCCCTGTCAAGCTTTCATGGATCGATTAGTCAATACACTGGGTTACGAGGAGTTGGATTAGTCAGAAAGGTTCTATTGGGTTCTATCGGGTTCTGTGGGCTGTTGGTATATGAGTCACTTTGGATTTGTTATCGCTGGGGTTTCCTTGAGTATATTAAGGGGGGTTGTTTGTACTTCTCGTTCTTTTCCTTCTTCTTTCTTTACGCAACGTCTTCTGTATCTACGCTGTTTATTGCTATACAATATTATCGTCCTCTTCTTCCTTTAGAAGACCACCGCCTCGCTTGCTCCGTGTCCCGTCGAACCTTACCAACGTTAGAGTCTCGTAGTGCCCCTATTGCGAGCTCCCATACCGCCCCCTATTTCACTCCTCGTACCCTGCGGAATACTCGCTACACACCCCCTTGAGATTTAGGACCCCTATTGCAGGCTCCCACACCGGCCTCTACTACCCCCTTCGTACCCTGCGGAATACTCGCTACTCGCCCCCTTGAGACAAGCTTGTTATGCACTTTCAGCGGAGACGACTCTTGGTTGTATATCTTCTGCTATAGCACCGATGAGAAAGCTGTGCATTTGTTTGCGAACCTTCTTGATCTTGGTAGTGGTTAGCTTGGTGTCATTCGCTTAAGGGAGCTCTATACTCACCACTTCCCAATAGTCTACACCATCGAATCTAATCCTCAAGATATTCCCCTAAGTTTGGTAGTTGGATTGTCCCTTGAGTTTGGAGAGTCCATCAAACTTTATACAAATGTTACTGGGAGCGACCCTATTGTCTAAAGACTTCATCTCCACAGGTTCTTTGGATGATTCTCCATGTTCAGCCATAGTGTTTCAAAGTATGAGTGATTTGATCGAGGTGGCTATTGTATAGTCCCGATTTTAGTTGGCAAAACCTGGACTCATAACTTGAAGTTTGGAGTGCAGGAGAAAATGACTCGAATGTGGTTTGAACATGTGAACTTGTGAAGAAATATGTTTCGTAGACAGGAGATTATACTATTGCGCCGCTGAGGTTCCAGCGACAACTGTGGGAGTTTATCGCTCCTTATATATAGATAATCCTAATACTATTTAATCCCTATATTGCATAATCCCTGGCACTAAGCCTCATCTGAAACTCTTGTTTCTATTATGAGTCATTCCTTATACATGAGTCATTACCATACACAACCAATATCACATTGCCCTATTTGTACACCTCTCACGATATCTCTGGATTTCTCCTATATGTGTATGGCATTGTGTGACGATGGTGCTCATGATATTGATTATCGTATTTGACGAGTTTTCTCTAATGGCGGATTTATTGTAATGAGAAGATCGTGTAGATGTTGTAGGACAATGGGGTCAGCTGGTAAGCAAATTCTTCACTATTGTGGCAGCCGCGGTAGTGGGATGGACTAGGTGGGGAGATGAGAGAAGGGCGAAGAGAGAGGATTTAGCCAACCCGTACAGCTCAGCACATGTAGCTCACTAATGCAGCTATTTTCATAACTGTGTATAATGTAGAATACTGCCAGAGATGAATGGGACTTGATACAACTATGTTTATCTTTTAAGCTCCCTCGAAATAATTGGCCCACCGCCTCAAAACATTTTCCAGTAGCGCTCAACATTCCCATGAGAGCAGGAGATCCAATGAAAGAAATATACTCCTATCTGAACTCTCCGATTTCGTTTATCTGACAAGAGATAAAAATCCATTCAACAGCCCTAGCACTGTGTTCCCTTGCTACTCAAGCGACTGTTGAATTCATCCTCTGCGGCCGGATTACGTAATCCTAAGGTAGCCTATCAATTGAATTGGATCGACAGGTCGACTGACTGGTGGCCTGAAGTTTGACCTGCTTAATCATCCACAACCCTGCACGAGCTGCTGTTGCCATAGTACGTACTGCCCCGCTCTAGCTCTGCAAACCACTTAACGACGATGTTGGAAGCCAACGAAAGCCCCGCAACATCGACGGAAGACCCTCCACCCGGTCCGTCAGAGGCCGACTTTAAAAGTGCTCTTGATTCCCTGACCTTCCTCGAAGAGAAGGTCCTCTCGATGTGCACGAGCTCACCGTGGCTCGAGGGATTTTTCTCTAGGATATATCTCGAGGACCCTAGTGCTGTAGTAAGCTCGTAACACCTACCCTTCCCCTGAAGCTTACTAGAGAAACTCACAATGGCACAAGGCTAGCCGTAACATTGATTGTGGGGACTACCGGATGCTATCCACATATGTCCGGAGGGTGGTGAAGGAGGAGCACGATGTCCGTGAAATGATGCGACAGAAGGAACTCTCTCTGATTGGGAAACTGGAAAATATGGAACGTGATGTTCAAAGCCTCAAGGAGGAGAACGCGACACTGCGGGAGGAAATAGAGAAAGACCGAGAGCTGATCCAGAGGGCGAGGAGGGAGATGGAGCTGAAAGAGAGGGAGATGGAAACTGAAGGAGTACAGCTACGAGCAGCGCAAGAACAGGAGATACAGCGATTTAAGAGAGAGAATGAGAAGCTGCGAGAGGAGATAGAGAAAGAAAGACAGCTGATACGGGAGGATGTGAGGAGGGAGATGGAGCTCAAAACGCGGGAGATTGGAATTCAAGAAAGGACGCTACGAGAGGCGCAGGAACTGGGAGAGAGGGCGAAGATGGATGCGGAGAGGCTTGTGGCGAGAGATTAACGAGCTTCTGACTTGGTGGTTAAAGGAAACAAAGGTTTAAGCCTACGGGGTATCGTGATGGGATATATTGCTGGCCGGGTAGAGCGGGAAATATGGGACATTGAATTATGTTGTGGGGGAAGGGCTTGGCGTGGAAAAATAAGGGATGTACATGATATCCCATTCTTTAATCGTACAAGTGAATGAAAATATTTAGGGCGATGCGGGGTAGTTTTTAATAGGTCTGAATAACTGAAATCTCTGTACATTCCCACCTCTCTCGCTGGCCGAAGATTATAGTCGAATTTAGTGACAAGGGTATTTATTATATCACACCAGACTCTACAACGGAGGTCACGAGGAGCGCGTATGTTATTTTGCAGCAGAAATTATCGCGTCAAGATTTCGACTGGTAAAATACTTGATTCTTGAATCATGAGATTAAGGCAAACGCCTAACTCCAAAATCAAACCTACCCTGGAAGACTTGAGATAGAGTAATGTGGTCAAGACTCGGTTACTCAATTCAAGCTAAGTCGACGCTGCGCAGTTGGTGAGTGGGCTGGCTCTTTCCTGATTGAACTCGAGAGTTCGTGGAAAAACCGGGGGTTTTCGGTATAGGTTTCACTTCTTGAGTGAAGGGCTTATCCAGGAAAGTTTTGTATGACCTGACTTCCTGGTTTGGAGTAGGTATGAGCGTAAATATCGCAGAAACCTGTCCTAGTCAAAGTACCTTTTGCTCATTCTGTCAGCGGCAACTGCTAGAATGCGAGAGAATTTAATCTTGACGTCGAACGAGTACCGCAAATCTCGATACCTGCTGTTTTCTTTCTAAAGGTGAACCCCCCGAATCACCGGTACGCCTGGCGCGGCTGGCACGCGGTGGCGCGTAGCATGTGGCGTGTGTGGTGTGGCGCTTCGCTAAGGCGGGATTTAATCGGCGGTACTTTACAACAACAGCAAGCGCATATGTCGTAGACAGGGGCTTGTTTTAGTTTACATTTCGTTTTTATCCTCCTAGCCGTCTCTTCACGGCAGTATATTTCCGGTGACTTGCAGATTAAACCTCGGTCTAAAAAGGCTTATATTCCCATCTCCGCACAGACCTTAAGACTAATTGCTAGCCTCAAAGCGGAAAGAAGCACCTCCGGAGGTTGATGTAGGTCACAGCTAGATCGTGAGATGCTACGGTACCCAACCTTAACTCCTGCAGCACTAGTACCATCATCGAGATTGGTCTTGGCAGGCGGGGATGGATGACACAAGACGGAAGTAGTTATCATGTAAGGTCGAAACCCCTCCCTCCCGGGAGGCTGGGCACCTTGGGGTATTTCCAGTTATGGCATCTTGGAGGTGCGGAACCGCGCATGAGCCGATCTTTGTCCTAGGGTTTTACTAAGAAGGGGAATTCTGACGAGAGGTAGGGCCGAATCTGAGATATGTCTACCAACCTGGTCTAAGCTTTAATGGTAAGAGTGGAAGTGCCATTTACTGTATTATTTTTTTCCGGAGAAGTTACAACTTGTCAGAGTTGGCATGTCTTCAAAGTTACCTTGTTTATTACTCCTTAGCAAAGAAATAAGATTTCCTAGAGTATACCTCTGTGAAGTCCAAAGGGGTGACTAGTCCTAACGGGTCCTTTTCATGAATCAGTCTCTAATCTCTCCCCCGGTTTCTTCGTGGCGCCGCCAGTACCCACGAACGATTGTCAGCCTGGCAGACTAATTGGTCAATTGATTGAGAACTCATGGTGGCAGACGATAGACAATCGCTTATTAAAGCATTGCGCAATACTCGCGCGTGAATTAAATGGTCGGTGCAACAAAATGCTTACTAGAACCTCCGACCTTTTAATTAACGATGGGTACTTGACGAGTCAAATATATTGCCTGTGGATAGACAGATAAATGCATCGAAATAATACCCAACGGTGGATTAACTCAATTATTGTGTGAATCATGCTATGAATCCATTTATTAGAGCGGAGCCGCTAATGTACATGTAGGTAACCGCAATCTGGAACTAGCTAATTTGGGACTAGTACACAGCTCTTGGGAGTTTGGCCGGAACATGTGGCGTAGGAGGGGTCATAAAGTCTCTCTGTATCTAGCCGTTCTTCTTCTGTTTTCACAAGAATTGACTACTATTTTCGTCTCTGTACCTTCTCAAACCCGATTACGTAAATTTTGCGTTACGGTGAGCACCGGTGAATGGTAGGTCTTGGCAAGGCCAGCTCGCCAAAGCCATCGCGTAGAGGACTTGGCAGGTGGGGCTCTTGCCGGCTAATATACCAACCTCTCATGTCAGTGACACCGTCAAAACCAAAAACCGACACCCAACCTATAAGCTTGCGCTATGGAAGCTGCCGCATCTATCATCGGACTCGTCGCTATTGGCCTAAAAGTATACGTCACATTGGAAGGTTTTGTGTCCACTTGCAAGGATGCACCAGAGATTGCTAAAGTTACCCGCGATGAAGTCCGAGACTTCTGGTATGCTCTCCACAGGCTTCGTCCTTTCGTCGAGCGAACAGCGGATATCACTCCTCTGGGAGCAGCGGCAACAGACGCAGCACAGCTATCCCTCACACTTGGGTCCTGCATGATTACCTTCTCGGAGGTGGAGAAGCTGTTGGATCGTTTACTTCCCAAGGCTGAGATGAACTACATTGGTCGAACTAGGTGGACCGTGTCTGGCGCAGGCCTCACTCAACTCATGAAGCGCATACAACAGCATAAGAATACCTTGAACCTTCTGTTGACAATATGGATGAGGTAAGTCGACGCGCCAGAACGAGAACTCCCCAACCTGAAACTGATGTTATGTGTATATAGTGAATCATCGGCACAGACCGAACAAGCCATTGACATCCTGAACGACCTGTTGAGGGATCTCCTGGGCACCAAGGAGCAGCCTACAACGCCAGACTCGGCTGCCCAACTTGAAGCCATCACATCTTTACACGACCCGGATGCTCCGATTACAAGTAACGAGGCGCACATGTCCTTCTGTGACGACAACGCATCAATCTTGACAACGTCCACTTCCCTTACGACTCAGTCCAAACACTCTCTCAAGTCTATTCTCCTCAAAACGAAACTTTATAGTGATCCCAAGCTTTTCGAAAGCTCGGGATTCTCAATATCAACATCGCGGCGTCGTGGGACACAGTGGTCTCAGTTCACTGTGGGCTCAAACACTTCAGTATTCTCGTTACCTTTCACGGACTTCGAAGGATCGGGATTATCCATTGCGGAGGAGGGTAACGTATCACAGATAAATGTCCCAGTAGATCAAGGACTACTGTATAGACCTCATTGGTACCCTAGTCTACGTCCCATTCTATCACCTCTTTCCACGAATGATACCCGGAACCAGAAAATAAGACGATCCTCCAAGGACAGCACACGTCCTATATCCATTCCGCCCCGCCCAGAGTTTGAAGAAGATAGTTTTGACCTCTTCAGGACCAGGGACATGGAAGAGGTATCCGAGCTCATACTCTCGGGTAGGGATCCTGATGGGGATCTTCTCTATCACGTTGCCAACAAGAGTGCTGTCTTGGCTGAACTGATATTGGATCGAGCATGTGGCCAAAATTTAAAGCCTGCAGTATTTCATCCTCTTTTGAATGCTGCTATAAGCATCCGTTATTGGGAGCTTATTGATATACTATTTAGGCGTAATCAGATACCTGAATCGGGGTTGATAGACCCCAATTGGCGACAGGTTATGTTGCGATATGCGGCGGAGAGTATCCACATTGCACATGCGCTGTGCAAAGGTCCCATTCCTGCAACTTTCTTGGACTTAGCCATCGCCAGCGATGCTTCAGACGACTTGGCTCCTCTGGCATTTGCTTGTATGAGAAGAAATGTCAACATGGTCAGGTTCCTTCTAAATAACGGAGCCGATGCGCTGGAAATTCCTACATCCGGTGTAACCGCCTTACACCACGCAACTCTTCCTCCGGATATAAACATTACAATATTAAAGATGCTCATTGATAGAGGAGCGGATATCAGGTCTCTACATCATGAGAACGTCCCTTTATTACATTACCTCATCACATATTACTTTCGTGGACCGTGGGAGCCAAATGTGCACGAGCTATTCCGTTTCCTACTCACCGCTGGATGCTCAAGTTCACTCACGGACCATAACGGCACTACCGCACTATCACATGCCACGATATTGAAAGATCGGAGGGCAGTGGAACTTCTTCTGGATTACTCAAGTCCTAGTTTAGACTTGGAGGCGAAAGATCTAGCTGGTGATACGGCACTACACAAGGCGTTGATGTATCATGATTATTTATTCCGTGAACTTCCCTCCTTGCTACTTAGACGGGGTGCCAGTGTGAATGCCACCATGAGCGATGGCACTACTCCACTCCTTCTCTGTTTGTGGCACAGCGGCAAACAATCATACACCAATCGTAAGTGTAATGAAATATTGTTTTAGTTAAGCTTCTTGCAGACGACGGGCTAATCCTTGAACTTGAGAATTAGCAGCAGCAACTTCCTGGCAGGATACGCTTCTTCCGTCATCGTGTATTCCTTTATTGGAAATGATGATGTTTCGTGGGGCGGATATCAACGCTAGGGGACCCCAGGGTTTTACCCCACTGATCCAAGCCATAGACCGTCATGATCCAGAGTTGGATCCTGGACTAGTTCGATTGCATTTTCTGATTGGGTCTGGTGCATCACTTTCGATCACCGATGACCATGGCGACAGCGCCCTGATTCATGCCGTGAGGAAGGGCGATTTGGACCTACTCAGACTACTGTGGATGAGCGGTGTGGATCTTGAGACAATCAATAAATCCGGCCGAAACGCATTGCACGAAGCGCTTCATAATAATCTACTTCAAGTCGTGGAGCTATTGCTCGAGCGAGGTGCCAATATTGAGGCAAAAACAGAGGATGGCAGCAGCCCACTACTTTTTTTCATCCGGCACCATTATTACAATGGCCCCCGCCCCTCCGATGCCCTCTGTCACACGGACGAAGAACATATCCAAATGATTGACGCCCTTTTAAACCATGGAGCTGATGTCTCAAGAATAGTTCCCAGAGGAGAGAGTGCCTTATACGACCTATTTCAATCAAAATCGATACTACGACTTTTCCAGGTACTCGTAGACCGAGGGTTTTCCTTCCATGTTGAGCCGACCGGGAAACGTACCATCCTGCTGGATGCTATGATGAATCACAATTACGTGCATGATAAACAGCTAGAGGTCCTTGAATTTGTCATTGAAAATGCGCCGTCACTGTCGGTCACCCGCGATCACCTCAGCAGCGCCCTCGTATTTGCCACCACACGCGGTCGTCTAGACCCAATGCGGCTCTTGCTAGACAAGGGTGCGGATCCAAATGTGTGGAGTATATCAGGTCAAACTGTACTCCACATCGCTGTTGCTTATGAGAATCACGTAGCTGCCAAACTTCTTCTTGACAAATTCGCCGATATCGACGCAGTTGATAATAAAGGTCGAACGCCTCTATATCATGCCATCGACAACTATGCGAGTTACGAGCTCATTGAAGTACTGGCTAGCCATGGGGCTACGATAACAGAGCCAATTCGTGCCCTTCTCCCGAGTCGTCCCTGGCTGATAACCCCGTCGTTAAAACGGTACTTCGAATATATTTGACACTTTATCCTCTTCGGGAGGATCAGTGTACAGACAATAGAATAAACTTTTATTATCTTTATCGTTTATCTTTATCGTTTATCTTTAATTCTCTGTTTATGTATTTCTTTCGCTATATCCATATGGGTCAGGTGCATCGCAAGGTTGGGTCTCTCCTGGTGGTGTCGGTTATTTCCTGTTATTAACCTTTCGAGGGTATTTGTAAACGGGCTATAGCAGACTTGGACCTCACTGTTTTCCGATGCTAAGGATAGTTCATGTTCAAGCCTTCTGGCCTTTTCATACATAAATCAAGCTTCAGGTCATGATATTTCATGTACTCGTTGAGCGAAACAATGAAACCTAAGGCACTTGAGATCCTACTGTTGCTCCTTTTATAATACTTGTTTCCTATGGAGTGTGAAGAAAAATCTATGATCCGTATTATATTATATATCTTTCATTATATACTATAATTATTTGGCTAGTTATCCTCATATCGAGGATAAAAAGGGTACCGGAGGTCTCCATGGCGTCTAGTCTTACTTTTATATCCACCCCTCCCACGTCCCATTCCGTGTGCCTACGTATTCATTCAGTACACTAAAATCTCAGCCGAGATCTGCCTCCAAACACAGAGGTTTAAATAACACTCAATATCATAAATTTCACATCTTGTTACATATGTTCTCGCCAAAGGCCACCTACAACACACGATTTCCAACCCACTTCTATGAAGCAGAACACTTCAGCGCGCGGGCGTGAAAATGCATAGTCTTAGCATTGGCAGGGCAGAAGATCGCGACAAATCAATGAAACGATGCACTGCCGGTATAAGGGCTCTGGCGGAAGTACTCCTGTCGCTTTACCGGCACTTTTACTGATACCTTTCCGTGCCATAAAAGGATGGTTCGTTGATCCACGGCTTTATATATCGATACTTTTCCGTGTATATTACACCAATATGCCTCACCCATGACACCCACAACACTTATTTCAACCACCTTACCTCTAACAAGCTACTAACGCTTCTACGAACAACCTTCTCTTGGTAACTATGTCTCCAGTATTCATTGATAGTGACTCCACGACTCCGCTAGAGGCGGACAGATCCAAGTGCCGCGTTGCTTTGCTCGCCCGTGCAAAGGGATATGACGCTTCGAGGTGGTCGGGGTAGCAGTAAGGACTATATTTATACCTACAAATTTGTATTTTTGCCACATATATACATCAGTTATATCAAAGTGGTATAGAATATGGACTGAACTGCACTGGAGAATCCGGGGATGCTTAGGTTATAATTTCGGAAGGATATATTATCCTCGATAGGAGGTTACAGGGGTTGGGGGTGGGAGTGGTGGTCTGGATATCCGCTCATAGTGCCTTTGTCGCCCGCGCATTTTTAGGTATATAAGGGTCAGTAACTCAATTGGGATGATCAACTATCCCGTTATCATGTTAACTGGTTGCGAAGGTATATATGCTCCGTCAAAAGAAAATACTGCAGATTTAAGCCTGAGGTGAACGCGAACCTGCAGCATTGCCGATGTATAATAAAATCTATACCATTTAGGCCATCAGAAGAGATACTTGTTCTCGCCTTTGTCAGCCTATCATTTAGGATACTGGCGGAAAAGATTGTTTATCCCTTCTCCCCTTGATGATCATCTCCGAATTTTAAACAGAAAAATTCACTAAGCCCGAAAAAGGTGGGCTGAACTTTGTTAACCTAGACTGCCTATCCCGATAAACAACCATGAAATAAGAAAAGAGTACAACTTTGCCTACCCAAGTCCCATAACACTCCCTGAATCGGGTAAAGCGAGCACCGTACACTAAATAATTTTACTGTAGAGGAATGCCACTAATATTCCACTAATACTATAGTTACCTACCCTTTGAGTAGCTCGAAGCAGTGGGAGGGAGGGCTGGATTATGCATTGAATTCCCCTTCCACGAAAAGTCACTATTGTTAAACTACCGTACACGCCCTCGGCCCACCCTTGCAACTCAGCCGCAGCCGCAGCCCAACCACACCACCCCATCCCCCCCGCAGGCCCCCGCGACGCGAAACGCCCGGAGGAGGAGGAGTGGAAATGAGATGTCGTTGTTGTGGTACAGCGAAGTGATAAGGATAAGGATAAGGATAAGGCACCACCATCGCTTCGCGGCACGGGCCGAGAGGGCGACGGTACCTGCATGAGGTCCCTGCATGAGACGCGTGGCTGGACCTGCATATGCCAAGCGAACGTCGCAATCCTAATCAGTGAGCACCTGAATGCGGGATGGAATGACTACCGCCAAAACTCGAAAAATTGGCTATCTCCGTCCAGGGATTACCACTTGAGTGATTGGTTGAATGGCATCGATCTGCACCATAAGTTTCCCGTACAAGTAATTTTGATCTAGCCAATTTTCGAGTTATGGCGGTACATGTACCTTCCCCGCCCGCCGCTGTTGCAACTCACGGAGCCTTAATATGGTACATGTTTCCACCTCCTCACTGGCCCCCGCCCCCCACCCCCGCCGCCGCGCCGGCCAGTGACACGCCCTGCCGCCCACGACAGAAAAGCGACACTCATTTGAGGCGCCGCAGTGGCGTCCGCTCCAGAGCTCTGAGCCTCATCGCTGGCGATATCACCTGCTGTCTTTGACGGTGTTTGCGATGCTCGATTCCGGGTATGATGCGGGCTGCTTAAACCACTCCGCGCTACAGAGAGGCGGGTGTAGCGTGCGGTCGTGTATACTTATTGACCCATTCCCCGACGGCAGTGGAGTGGTACATTTTGTATTCAAGGTGTTTTCAGAAGGGGTGTTTAACGCTTTATCGCTCCACAGTGATGAGGTAGTAATATCAAGGGGAAACAAGGATTGTTCATCAACGGATCTAGATCCTATGGCGAAGTTGTGAGGAAATTGGATTAACTGCACCTTGGGATCTTAGCATATCTTGGCACAGACCAATGATACATCTGTATTGATCATTTCTGAACAGTACAAGCTTCCTCATTCACATATTTGGGTATAATTGCGGCTTGGGTGCAGAGTGCTATGGCTCCGGATCGCTTGTAGACAGTCGGCCTCGTCACAAAACCAGAAGGTCTTGGCACGACAACCACCAAACACTAGCCTGGATGAGAGCTCAGGGTCAGGGTTGCACCAATGGTGGAGAGATTCGACAATTGCTGTCCTTTAAGAGGAGACATACAGGGGAAGAACACAGATATGGAACTGGTGGCAACGTGTTTTCAGCAATGAGATGATGACACTATGTACAATTACGTGGCAGTAAGCGAGGAGGATAAATCTGGGGGAAAGGAGAGAGCCTCTTCTCTTCTCTTCTCCTCTCCTTTATGGCTGCAGGCAGGCTCGAAGAAATCTTACAATGCGATTCTTCTACTTCTATATTCTCGTTTAAATTCTCTCTGACTGTAACTGAATGGACAATTTCACAAGCACAAGTGATCGGTCCGGAGTCATATCAAATGCAGAAAAGTTGCAACTTATATTCTTTCATCCTAGACTATAGCCGTGGCACTGCCCAAAATAAGTAGAAAAGACAACTCTCAAAACCGAAGAAATGAAAATGCAGTTGACCTAAAACAGAGGCTCTTGAATAAATATAACATCACCTCACTCTATCACTAAAAATGTTTCTAGTATTGATCCCACGGGGTAGTCTTGAAAGAACTTTTAGTCAGGCTACGCAAGCTGATAAACGACTCTACCACAAGAAATAACCTCGCTGTCATGAGCACCAGCAAAAGAACCAGGAAAAAATATCTCCTCCAAAACCTCTGGACCAATCTGTATAACTCGGTAGACAGAACCCGGGGGAGAACACAACGGATGGTCCCCCAAAGCCGGGTGAGGATATCCACAGACAAGTGTGCAGCCCAGTAGGAGTGACAAAGGAGCCAAAGCCAGTAGGGAAGGGAAATCCTACCTCTGTACGACATCAATCTCGCACGGGACTCAAGAAGCCAGGGGGTAAGAGGGATCACCCCTACGAGTATGCTGGAAACGCGCCAAAGAACACATTCCACCCTTGTTGGAAAGTGTGTATTCCATGCAGCGGCATGGCAGGCGCCATAGATAATTGGGAGCCATGACGCAAAGCCGCCTACACCTTCACTTTCGTGATCCGGCAAATAGCGGTCTTTCCAAACACGTCCCCTATCCTTTAAAGAGTCTTTCTCAAAGGTCAACGTCCAGGATAGGGGGAGCTTCCCTGCCTTTATGGCCGCAGCCGCGGATATGAGAATTCCAACGTCGATCTTATCAAGAGTTATCGTAAACTCGGTGACTTGATCCGGTTCCCAGTATACTCTTATCTCACCGCCCACAATGACCGTCTGTCATTGCGCAACTTGGATATGGGGTGTAACCGACGCACCACTAGGCTCGACCGAGCCTCGATGGAATATGATAGAGCCTCGGGGAAGAATATCATGGGTATTAGGCGTGCCGCCAAGGGAGAAGACACTCCTTTCCTCGGGGATGAAGATAAAATTGGTATCCGGTATGGCGGGAGAGGAGGATTGCGGTATTCTCTCGCTCTCACTATTAATACTAGATGCCTGGGGCTCGGCCGACCTTTCCGTTTGTTCTCCACCATCGTCGACCTCCGGGGGCACCGGATCTGTATGATGCGCAGGCAAGCTGGCGTATTCGATATGAAGCTTTGAAGAGAGGTGTAGCTTAGCATAATTGACCGAAATTAGGCTGGCCAGTTCAATGTCTGTCGTGACAGCTACCTGTTCGGCGACGTCTAAAGGCTTTTTCATCCAGCATGCGTACATGACAAGCGTACATGGTACGTGCATCAAGATGTGGATCTCGAGTAGTGTAACGGGTAACCCAACGCCCAACCTAGCTGTAGATTGGACTCCAAGCCATACAGCTTGGATACAAACCAACAACTTCGCGATTAGGTCTGATTTGCCTTTATCTGTTCCGGGCCGTTGGCGGATTTGACGGATTCGCCAATGCAGCACCTACCCCAACCCTAACCAAGGAGGAGCAAGAACTCAAAATGCGCCTCCGAGCCGAAAGGGTACGAAAGGTCGTGGAGCTCTACCTTCTCAAAGGTTCCAGGACAGTCCGCTGCTGGTACGATATCACACATGGCTTTGGCATCTGGTATGGCACTGTTGGAGAGGATGGGGAGTATGAGTTTTACAGTGAGGATGAAAAAGACCATTATGATTGCGATGAGGTGATTATTTGTTGGTGTGGCGCTATTCTCATCGGCGAGGCTGGTGAATGTTGTGGACGCGGGGGTGCCTAATAGTGGAGATAGGCAGGGGAGATTATACAGTGGGTTTCACACGCGTAATTTATAAGACTGTGCTTGCGCTTCTCTAGGCTAGATCTTGGCTCTCTCGACATTAACATCATATCATACATTAGGGTCGGAACGGGGGTTTTCATAAGACTATTTATTACGAGCGGAAATTTATCAGTAAATGCATCAATTTTATGTTAGCAAAGACGCTGGTGGATGCGTTAAGTTCTGTATGGTAAAACAATTCAAATCGGTGGGTTGAATTTTGTTGGAAATGCATCATCGAAACCTTAAATTGGGGCGAGAAAACAATTCAATATGGTGCGTCTGACCTAATAGGTAGGCTAAGGAAATGCATTTCTGTATGTGAGAATTGATTATTCCGTGTGCAGTACTTGGATTAACTCCTATATGGGAAAACCAGCACCCTAATCTTTGTGCACTAGTGGAAAAAGGATAAAACTGATTTTAATTGCAATAGGACGGCTTTAATTTATTTTACATCCAATTTCCTCAACCGAAAAAGAAAACGGCGGAATTGAAAGGAATACGGGAACTCAGGTTGGAGGTTAAAAAGACAGCTTTTCTCGGGAAAATATAAGATTTCTATAGGTTAGGGTTCGGCACAGTGAATTTCAAGCCGTGTCTTGTATTGATCATCCATTCCAGTTCCTCTTACCTCCTACTACAGTCACTCACGGGGTGAAGGCGGATCCTGTCTGATAGCGGTCAGGGATTTGAGGCCAATAACAAAGTTAACTTTGGGACGCCAAGGGGAAATTACTGCAAACATAACCATCAGACAGGATCCGCCGTCACTAGGTGAGCGACTGTACCTCCGCTCTCTCTATCACCCCCGCTTTGCCATCAACCATTCCCCCCTCGAAACCATCACAAGTATCATTGCAAACAGCGAATTTAGCAGGGATCAGGTAGGACTCGAGCAGCGAATCAATTAGCGAAGCAGTCAGCAAATCAAGCAGGTCATGTCATAGATCATCGAATTCCGTGTAGCAAATCCATGACTGAGTCAGGCAGCTAGCCCATCACGGAGTCAAGCAACTAATCCAGCAGCGAACATACCTCTGAATCTAGGACCAAGTCTAGTACTAAATGGTGCCAATTCAGAAGGGTTTGTCGATATATAAGGAGGAAGGCAGACATGGAGCCGGATTCCTGGATGTCTCAACCCCAGCTACCAAGCAGCGCACGGAGAGGTAACCGTTAATGTACATATTTAGTTAATGCCAACCTCAAATTACGCGTGACCTTCCGGGAGAGCTGGGCTATGTCAAATCAAAGTGAATACTTATTAAGCCGTATTTTTATCGAGATATTTGCCTGGTAGCCTCAGCCTATAAAAACTCTATTCCTCTAACCTACATATACCTACTAGAAAGTTTTACGACCGCCCAGATACCTTAATCAAACCTAAAATATTTGTAATCCTTAGCAAAAGCTTGGTTTTGGGGTACAGGGCTAAGGAAAGGTTTGGCTTCCGCGCATCAGGCTTATTAAACTACCCTCAATCCCCGTAAAGTAGCAATGCCGAAAGTCCTATGCTTATTAGATGGTGTGGAAATTCTGTCTGAATGTGCGCGATTCGAGTGATACCGTATGATTCGGCGATGACGCTTTGAGATGTTTCATTTTTGAATTATACCGCCATAATTCGATAAATTGGCTAGCTTCCAGAGATCAAAAGTACTTGTAGACCAGCTTGCCCATCAGCGAACGCGGCCCCTCAGCGAGCGTCCAGCTAAAATTTGCTGAGTAGCAACCGTTGCAGCGGGCAAAATAGCGGGCAACGCTCGGTGATGGGCCGCGCTCGCTGATGGGCAAGCTGGTCGACCTGTGGGAAACTTCTGATGCAGACCGATGCTATTCAACCAATCACTCGAGGGATAATCCCTGGCGGGAGATAACCAGTTTTTCGAGTTTTGGCGGTAGTTTATGCTGGTTTTTGAAGCCGTCAAGGGATCGCCGACCCGACTGGAGCACACTAAGGCCCTGGTCCTGGTGTCCATCCATCGAGGCTAGACGATATAAGTGATAGACAGCAACATGATTATAATCGGTGCGACCATCACAACCACTAAAAAGGCTTTTGGAATCTAGTCGGTACCGGTTGGCATACAAAGTACTGTTTAAAAAATATAGAATTAATTCTATCCTAATGACTACATTCAGAGTTCTCTACTAATAAAAGTTTTGCTATTACTAGAAGTTGCTGTTTCGGAACTATTTGGTTTTTCAGTTCTAAACATATTTTTTCACTTCTTCGAATTAGACCTTTCATTCGCTCCATCTCTTTTGCATTTAAGCTCCAATAAAACATCTACTTTTTCCAGAATATATGCTGACATGTTATTCAACCTCCACCTATACTAAAAACAATAATAAATAAACCAGTAAGAGTAAAAGATTGATATAAAAGCTAATCATATTTTTGACTTGCAGGTTTTGCTTATTCGGTGAGTTTATTTATTTGGTTGCGAAGATGCTCCTCATCAGCTTCATGCATAGCTGCCCTTGTAGCTCCCTTTTCTGCACACATTTTGAGTTTGCTAAATAAAGTCCACTTTTTATGAAACCTAGGACTATTGGAATTGATTATCGCCAATGCTACAACATAGAGACTATGAATTGAACGGGGTGTAGTTAGTATTTTGAGATGATACGAGAGTATATTATAAGCAGTTTCATGACTTGGATTCTTTGGCGGAGCTTCCAATATATTCGAGGATTGTATAATAGGTTCCGGAAGAAATAATTTGTCTAGAATTGCCAGAGGATTATAGTGCCTTATGCCTGTAGCACAGAAATCCGACACGATATTCTCAGCGCTGAAAGCTTTATGGTGTGCTCTAGTGAAAAGATTGGGAAACTTGTTTTTCCCAATAGGTATATGAACTAAACTTGCCTAGAAAAAGAAAATGATCAACTTTACCTCCTGCTTACAATATTTTTGAATGGCTGAAAATACACTCAAGGATAACAGTTGAAGAATATGGGAAGTAAGTGTGAGTAAGGAAAATAGCAGGATTTTGTTTTCGAGGTAGTAGTCAATGAGTTCTAAATTTAAATGTGATTCAAATCCGTTAAAAATAAGCAACCGCCATTCACTATATGATCTATTTATGAAGTAATTAATGAGTTGATTCACAATATTGGGGAATTATAAAAGTAAAGTACATACCGTGCTGTTGTTTCTGGTTGAAAAATATTCTTTATATATTCAAGACATAGTTGACTGTTATTATAGCCTTTGGGTAAATAACCACACTAAAACTCCATATCTTTTCTTTCCCAATTCCAACCTGCCATATGATGTTTCCCCTTGAAAATAATCAAAGGTGTCAAAAAAAAACTATATGAGGCTATGCACTCTACTACACTGCATGATTCCCGAATGTGATACTCTTTGAAAACTGCATTTTGTCTTGTAGTATCGTCAATAACCATAATGAAACCCTTCTCGTCCAGATTATACGTATTGCGTGGTGCAATATTACATTTTGAAGTGACAGTTTTCAACTAAAAATACACATAGTACTAGTTACTTAATATATTCAATACTTGTTATTGGGAAGGGGTTTTTTACCTTCCAAAAAAAATCATCCATACTATCCCAGCTGTTAGCGTTTGCTCGATTGGCTGCAATAGTCTATGTCAAAATTTAGCGGCACACTTTATGTCCACCTAAAAACCGATAGATCCAGTTTTTACCTAGGGACCGCGATGGGTTCCTTTGGGTCAGGAGATTCTGAGCCAAAGAGTAAAAAGCTATCCTACTAACCGAGACATTAAAGTAATCTGAAAAAAGGAAACGTTCAATCAAGATTTTCTCTTCCGCAACGGTCAATATTTGACAATCATGGTGTAGTTCTTCAAGGATGCATTGATTTGGATTCCGTATATGGCGCCTTAAAGAAGTCTCTGCCACATCATACAATTTAGCTATATGGATGACTACAGGTTTGGTATCGGTTATGCTATCTTGATTGTGTAACTGAAGTTCTGCATGGTAATGACTGAGTGCAAGAATAATATGTTCATATTTCGAGTATGTCAAAGAGTGGTCCACCAAACGGAACCTCAAAAAAAGCCAGGTGTTCCATTCTGTGAAATATCTTTGATGAATGTTGCTTCACAGTCAAGCGATCTCTTTCACTATTTGATTCCTCTACAAGCAAACGGGACGGGCTCACGCAAACGAACTAAAACAAACTGACTGAAGCAAACGGGCTTGAAAGCAAACGGGCTTGAAAGCAAACGGGCTTAATTTATTTTTGATATTCGGCTATCAACTCGGACCCCTGCCCACCACCAGACCGGATCCGCCGTCAGGGAGTGAGCGACTGTAATGAAATCCGTTACTATTTAAAGCGATATCAGATTTTCCTCTTTCCTTTCTTCTTTTTTCTTTTTTTTTTTTTGGGGGGGGGGGGGAGGGGGCAGGAATTAGCTGACAGGAGAAAGAATAAGAGCCCTAACTAGCGCCAAAACACACTTCTTCTATGCCGCCAAGACGCCAAAGCGCAAACCTCTGGGCACTGAGGGTAGAGCGTACGTCATCGATAGAAAATAAGTGATCAAACACGCCGGGACACAGTAAGTACTGCAAACGCCGTATGTTGGTGGCGTTTCATAACCAGCACCACTGTGTCAGCCCGTTCCATCATATCACTTATTAGCTGCCGCTGTATCTGCCACGCCCGATATCCAAATCCCGAGCTCAAATTTTCAGTTCTTGGCGGCCCACTAAGCTACACTCTACTATAACTACTCAATGAGTACTGCGATGACAACCGGCTTTCGACCCCGTCCCTCCTCAACTCGCTACATTACAGAATTTGAAGGTATCGCTTATAATTCCCCCACAAGACAGACAAGAACGAATTAAACCCAGACACGACATGAAGGCTTCTCAACCGCCAGATGGCACAATGCCTAGAAAGGATTTCCCTATACTGGCCAATAGTCCTAGAAACTCCCGGGATTCTTTTCTAAACGCGCGCAAAAGCATGAGGAGGTGGGGAAATGTTTAAAGACGTCTTAGGTTGTGTTATGCTAATATTCGATAGATGTTTGGCGACCGGAAACATCGAGGACGTCGAGAACGTGGATAACACCGAGACCGCCGAGGCCACCTAGGCCACCGAGAGCCCTGTCCCGGGTGGCAATCCAAACCCAAAAGGTGCCGCTGCTGGAAAGAGTGCTCTTGCGGGAAGAAAAACACGATCTGCAACGGTAGATCAAGAGCGCCACGGTTTGGCATTCAGCCGAGCAGGTCATGTTTCGGCGAACCCAAGTCAGCCACCAGCCAACTGCACCCAACGGAAGACGGCAAGGACTAGAGACGGTGGCAGTTCACGATTGGGTGGCACTCCGAGGTACAGAGTATCGAAGTGGAGTAGGGATATGGAGAAAATAGAGGAGGTGTTGAGGTCTTTGGAAACGAAAGTTGATTGAATGATGGAGATGTTGAAGGATATGCAGGATAACACGGGGGTCACGATTGTTATTAATAATAACCTATCGATATTTTGTATTGAGGCAGCGGAGGGAGGAAACACTTAGAGTAATGACTGGTGTCTTTAATTGTAGCGTGTGGTTTGCTGGTGCCGGCGCGGGTGGGTGTGCTCAGATAATGAAGGTACACAGAAAAGCTGGAGAGATCTGGTAGTATTTATCCATTTGGAAATAATAGTATTCTAGTGCGAGGTTTCACAAATATAAGAAATTACCAGGATTAGGGAATATGGATATGATGGAAAATGAAGATATGACTTCCGGACATTATAGAAACCATATTATGTTGATTTGCCGGAGGTTAACTTCTGGTATGCCATTCCTCTTGGACCAGGAGGGGCAGTTATTCGCCTAGCTAGACAACTGGGATGAAGGTGCGTTTATTGATTTATCTGGGCTATCAGATTTCGAGTGTCAACGAGAATTACCAATTCCACCGTTCAAGTGTCAAATGACCTTGAGTTTCCGTAAACATCCAGGAAAAGACTTGGGAATCATAGAAGCTGAATAACCCGGCAAAAAAAGAAATGGTTTGGCCGATCGGGCTAAGCAAAACTTCTTCTTCCGTATATACTCACGCTAAAGCGTGAAGGTGTGGTAAAGAATTCAGGGAGGCGAACAACACTTGAAACGTCACGGATATCTTGAGATCAAAGTCTTGTAAGGTACCAAAGACCATCATCGCTTAGCAAATTGAGATTTACACTTTGCCGTGATTGAACATTCGGGATGTACGCGTTTTCCACATGAAAACGAGATACCTTCTCGCCCCTGGCATTTCCGGTCCAACTGATTTAACAAATTTTGATCGGGCAGAATGGGAATAGAACTGATACTCCACTAGTGAACCCGGCCGTTGAAAGGTTTTTTATATGGATATGATTTATTCCTAATCCTTTCCTCTGTAGTCTAACTCCGCCTCACCCGCTGGGGGTTCGGGGTTTGGTATCCGACGTGGCCGGTGCACCCTGATGTGCTTGAGAGCAATATTTCCTAGTGCGGAAGTACGCTCTAGGTCATGGGCTGCGCGGAAATGGGGGTTGTGTCCTCGGGTGAGGTGTGTTGTCGCACGGTGTTAGGATCAGGTCTGTTGACGTCATGTATCCCTGCGGAGATCACTTTAGCGCTACTGGGGCTAATGCAGGAACGCCTTGGCAACGGCTTCGGTGGTTCGTGCAACGACGGTTGTCCTGGACCTTGGTAACCACGGCCGTCTCGCCACCCACGCCCACCCGTCATCAACGACCAAGTCTCTTCTGCTACAGTTAGCAGGCGCAGTACCCTCCTGAAGCAATCCCCTCCCTGCAGCTAATCGCAACAACAGTAGTTCGTCTTTTGCCGAAAAAAAAGAGAGAAAAAAAGAATCTTTTTCGTTTTGGTCCGGTTATAAACCAGGATTCACTGTCTTTCTCCCCTGGTGGGATGAAATGAGTTTACGCGGTAAATGGTACAGCGATGAGGATGATATGTCGTCTTGGCCGTCTGTTTCTCTGCAGCTGTGTAGAGTTTGGAAAGCCACGGGGCCAAACCGGAGGTGTCGCGCTTGCAACGACTGAACGGGGCGGTGGGTGCTGGGGGGGGAGTAGCGTAAAATGAAAGTTCATATATAATGAGATTGGAGAGATTTACCTGCCGGTACAATTTGGAATACTTTTCTCGCCTTTTATCCCAAAGTATTATTTGCGTAAGGTCGATATTGAATTTCACCCACCCAAAAGAGTCGCCGGGACAACCTCCATTCCCGCGCAAGTCAAGCCCTACAAACGTGCCCTAGAGCAGCCTTCCGCATACGGGAATAACGCTCTCAAACGCACACTACCTGATCATTCTCCGCGCCGAGAGTGTTTCCGCGCCGAGAGTGTTGTGGCTTGGCGGCTTGGCTCTGGTATGGCAGCCCCTTCCTTCACCCTCGAAAGTCTTCCTCCCGTTCCTGCTACCGCGGTAGATCTTGAATGGTAGATCTTCAATGGCTCGGATGACCGTGGAATCCAAACCGGCGTTGCTAACTATCGCTCTTGAGTGCTCTCTGCGCGGTGGCGTTGGGGCCCACCGAAATGCCAAGCCAGGTCATGGACTGACAGACCGGACTGCATATGGACTGCGTTAAAAGCCTTGGCAGTCCGTCCAAACAGTCAGTCGACTGATGGACTGACGGACTGCATAAGATACGAAAAGAGTTTAGTGTGATCTGAAAAAGGAACATAATCATTGCATAGAAACTATATTGTACTTAAAAATAAAATATCTTCCCCCCATCATACACTCAGACTTCAGCCGGAACCGTCTTCAAAAATCTCAAGTTCTCTTTTTCAATTATGACCTCCAGCAGATTTACGGTAATTCCATTCACCTCTTTCTATTTCTCTGTTTTTTTTTTTTTGGACCGCATGGCGAACTGTAGGACGGACTGGCTTGGCAGCTCAGTCTGTCTAGTCCATCTATATGCAGTCCAAGACTGTCTCATGGCTGTTCAAGCCACAGCATCACAGCAGTTACGATGAGCGGCAGTAAAATATTCAAGGTAACGGAAGAGGCTGCCATACAAGAGCCAAGACGCCAAGACACACCGCTCTCGGCGCCGGAGAATGATCAGGTGCTCCAAGTCCACGAGCGTTATTCCCGTATACGGAAGTGTGCTCTAGGGCAAGACTGTAGGGCTCTGCTTTCGCGCCTTTGTTGACGTCTGCGCGGCCGGGCAACGCTACAGAGCCGCGTCTGTGTGGAAATTCCTGGCGGGCTTTGAGGGTCGGTCGGCTATCTACTTGTAACGCAAAAGTCTCCCAAAAGGTACAGGTGTATACTAGTTCATCCCGCGGATAGGGATCATACATATGTCGGTGTCAGATGTCCCTGTGCCCATCATGCTTGGCAGGTACCGCCTACACTAGTGCAAGCGGGGGAGATGATGCGGGGACGCCTTGGCAACGGTCTGGACACCACCCTGGTTAACCCCGATGATCTGGGCAGTGGTCGGAGTGGTTGATCGGGCCTGTGGTTAATCGGGCTTGCCTGGAAAAAGCCTATCGTGGGCTGGGCGGAATAGTGGCTCGTTTTGCATGGGCTGGGCTGGGCTGGATCACGAACAGCTTTGCGGAGCACGAAAACCCTGCCGGCATACTCATGATATCTATTGTCTAATTCCCTTCACTTGATTTCTCTAATTGGCTACCAACAACCCTAACCCAAATACCACTTATTACAGTCAGACCAGATCAATAATACGAGGCAACTGCTTACGGGCGGGAAGAAATAAAGTATCGCGCTTTCGGCTGCGAGGTTGCTAGTAGGGACCTACCGGAAGCCTTCGCTCAGGGCATACGACCAGCTGCGGCTAGGCCCCGGGGGAGTCGCGCGTAATACCCAGTTCAGTATGAGTAGTCAATGTGTATTTGGCTGAGTTTCGGATGTTTTCCTTTTCCCAAGCTTGAGTAATGTTAACTTGAATGAAACGCTATATTTCGGTTTCTGTGGCGGTTGTCTGGTCGGTGTGCGAGATGCAGCGGGTATCCCTCCGTCTGTCGGTTAGATGCTGCCACCCCAAGAAAAAGCAAATCTCGAACAGATCTCGCCATCTCTCTTATCAATTAATTCCTCTGTTATTGGGTGGCAGCATTGAGAGAGGGACGAAGAGCGCTGATTGGCGCACCCCGTTAGTAATCAGGTTGGCCCCACCTGCGCATCACTCCACATTTCCCCATGTCTCCACATTTCCGCATGTCTCCCCACGCTCCCCACGCTCCCCACAATCCCTCACGTTTAGCAACAACCAGCAAACATGGCTTTCCTAGCGCACCTAAACCCGTTCGCGCGCAACCCCCCCGCCGACATCTCCTACCCGCCGCAGCCCCCGTTCAGCCCCACCCTGGACCCCGCCGCCGCGAAGCTCGCCCTCCACACGCCCTTCCAGCCGCACTCCCTCCTCACGCTAACGCTCCTCCCGCCGCACCCCGCGCCGAAAACACAACCGCCCGCGCCGGTGGCCGTGTGCGTACAACCCACCCGCCCGCGGCACCCGCCCTCCACCACCTCCTCCACAGCATCGGCAATAACAACCACAACAACCCTCTTCATAACCCACAACCTCACGCGCACCGTCGCCGTCGCCCTCGACCCCACCCGCGCCGTCGGCGACCCCGCGCGCTACGTGCTGAAGCTGTATTACACCACGCCCGCGTCGCTCTGGCGCCGCGCGCACGAGCTCGACGCCTACGCGCACCTCGCCTGTCTGCAGGGCGCCGAGCTGCCGTGGTACTTTGGCGAGTATGCGGCGGCGGGCATGCCGCGCGGGGGGTGCAGCGTTGTGGTGCTTGAGATGATTCTGCCGGGCACGACGGTGGCGGCGTTGATGGCGCGGCTTGGGGCGCTGCCGGTCGCGGTGGGGGATGCCGTGGAGGATCGGCAGGCGCGGTGGGAGCGGGCGCAGATGCGGCTAAGGGTGATGGAGCTGCATAGTAGTGCGACGCGGGCGGTGGACCGCGTGGAGGCGTGTGCGGCGGGGCATCACGGGTTGGGAGGGGCGAACATGGTTGTCAGTGGGACGGGGAGGGGGGGCGATGAGGAGGTGGTGGTGATGGTGGGCTGGGGGAGTTCCATGGTGGAGGGGGTGAGGGGCGGGTGGAGGGGCGAGTGGTGGAGTGGGGTGCATGCGGCGTTTTTGGAGGGGGGCGGGGAGGGGGAGGGGTGGGGGTGATGCCGGGGGGGGGGGGTGGGAGGGGGAGCGGGGGATTTAATGTATTCATGGTATGCTATAATACAGTCAAGTACAAAAGTCTTGATTTTTTTATTCCTTACGCAGCGCTATTTTTCCATGGAATGCCAAGACCGTGCGAAATATTTCAATTTTTCTTTTTTGACGACGTGCCAAATGGGAGGTGTTGTGGTTTGAAATGATCTAATCTTTTTATAGACTATTCTTATTATAATTACCTTTTAAATATCTAAGATTTGGCTTGAAATAACCTTCAGGGCATGATGTAGCTTTTGTAAATCTTTGATTTTCCTGAAAAAAAGGTTGTAGTTGACTGTAATTGTACCGCGCCGGTTCACCACATGGGGAATATTCAATGCATTTGTAAAACTACACGGTTGAGCCACTTTTGATCTCACAGATGGCTGAACCAACAGCATTCTAGAATCTGTCACGCCGTATTATACCCTTATATGCTACCAGCATAATTAATTGAGGCTCCGTCTTAAAACAATATACACAGCCCAGCGTCTCCACTAGTTCATTGACTCCCCAATTTCAAACCGGTTTCCTACACCCGTTTAGCAAAGCTAGGAGTTCGGTTCAGTTTGTGGCGTGGGTCAAACCAGTGTGTATGCACCGCCCATATCAAAGGCCCCTTTATCGGGTTGCATAGATTCAATCCCCCGTAAGGTGCTGCTGGTTTTAGTTGAACAAGGCGGCCGGGACACTATTGGTTTGCCCACCAGCTGGCTGCGTGTTACAGGAAACACGGACACTGCTCCTAAGTCAAGGAACAAGGATAATACGAGTGATGGGTTCTGATGCGAGTACGGTCGGGTAACGAGGGAACAAGCATAGAAAGGTACCGAGGGGTGTGGGGGCACCGGGTGCAACCACACTAGTATTAGGCTGTTGTGAGGGCACGCTTACTATTGGGTGTCTCACCCGGAACGGAATAGAAGCGGGGCTTATGGCTGCAGGCCATTCTACTTAGGGAAGTAGCTCTAGGACAATAGCATGATACAGCTCGGTTACTGGCAATTGCGGGGTTTATGGTTACGTGTCGGAATTAGAATGGAGGAACGGAACTATGCGGGGGCACTTTTCTATTGGGGTTATCTTCGGGTTGATTATCTTATTCTATTATCGTTATCTCATTAGTATTAGAAAGCGGGCCTTGGCATAGGTTCCAATATGTATAAATAGGGAAGGGTTCCGCCTCGTCTTAGTGGCATCATCAGTCACTCAGCGAGCGGAATCCGGTTTACAATATTACAAGTTTAAAAGCTACAGAACTATCGCTTAGCATTGGCATTTCCCCAAACACTATATTGTACCTTATCCACTACGCTATTATTTTACCGATCGCATATCATCAACGTCCTGATAAGACAACTACTTGCTTAGACCAATACTTGAGAGTATTTTGTTTGTGGCGGATAGTCACCGTGCGCTCAAGTAAAAGAATAAGAAAGTAGTCTATTAGGAGGACTCTTTGATACCGTATGCATCCCCGAGTAGCAACAGCAGCTATCAACAACTTTACTTGCACCACCTCTTTTGTCGTTCGCAGAGGCAGTGCCGAACACCTCTACTGCGGATACCTTGAGTACGCCGGATTTTTTACCGAAGCAGGTACTACTTGTACGTTCGAAGAACACGACCCGGAGATCCTCAACTATCCCGAACTTTTCCCCATTAAAGTCACCCTCAGTCAGCAATCCCACGGATTAGCTCACTCCGTCCCTTGGTTCGTCGCTCAACCCTGGTGTAGGAGACAGCCACAGCTCAGCATCGAGCAACTTAGCAATGTCAAGGGGTCATCAGCAACGATCGGAGGAAGACTACAACATGGAGAGCTCAATCACAGTGAGAGATCGAGGTATAGTCGAGACCCAGGCGAGACAGCGCCACAGGAGGGATCTGGACATGCCGATCAGCGACCTCTTCAGATCAACTCAGCCGGCCGCATCCTATGGCCAACCCCGCTCCCGCAGGCAAGGGGACTATCGAGATTATTCCCCATACAAAACGCCAATCAGAGAACGATCTTCTATTCCGAGGCCCTCGGTCCCCAGGGAAACGGACGAAGACGAGGATACGGATATGGACGTAGAGGAACGCCGGATCGAGCACCCCTTTGGAGAAATCATCGGGCAAGAAATCGAACGGAGAGGAGCCCCAGTGGTTCAGCAACTGAGTCGCGGACTTGGAGACCTCACTGTGAGCGTCCAAGATCTGCCCGCAATCAGGGAAATTACTCGGCAGCACGCGGCGCAGCTTACCCAGCAGCACGAAGAGCAGACCAAACTCATCCGCGAATTGCAGATGAAGTTCAACCAGGACCAAGAAGAACGGGAGCGCCGAGATGGGTACATCCTCGCGCAAGTGCGGGCAGAGACAACCGCAACCACTACGAACCTCGGCCAAGTCTTGGAACAGATCGCCAATACCACTAAGGCCCACCAACAGCGGCAGGAAGAGCAGGCCCAGCACATAACTATGCTGGCCGACTGGATTCAAAGGCTGCCGAAAGAAGGCCCAGCCCAAGTCCCAGACGGCGTAGCAGCTACACTGACACAATTGGAGAGGACCATGCAGCAGCAGGTCTCCTTGGTAGATGGGTTCTCTGGGACAAGGACGGCTCTAGAAGAAATGATAGAGCAAATGAAGGAAACAGCCCGTAAAGCGGCTGCGGAAAAACCACTGGCCCCAGAGACAGGTGGCGGCGGATCAGGCCCACCTCCCAAACCACCTCCCCAACACCCAGTCGCCCCTCCAGCCGGCTCCGAGTCCAGTGAAGACCTCGAAGACCAAAGCCAACAAACGAAGGAAGGAGGTCAAGGAGCACAAGGTGGACGTAACGGGAATGGTAATCAGGGAGGAGGTCAAGGAGTACAAGGTGGGGGTAATGGGAATGGCAATAAGGGAGGTAACGCCCCGGAAGCACCAGGATCATCCCCATCGGATTCCTCAGATTCGGAAGGCGAACGCCGCAAGCGGCTGGAACGTAGGAAACGAAGACACGAAAGGAGGCGCCAACGAGAGCAAGAATTCTCGCACCCCCCTCGTGCCACCGTAGGTGATGCACCCAAAAAAGCCAACATTCCCTTCTCCGGAAGAGCCGATCAAGACGTAAGACTCTGGATCGATCAGATGGAAATCCTAATCAGTCTCCAGAAGAAGGTCCAATGGGATAACGGCACTAAGATTATGTGGGCATCCCTCGAGTTTACCGGTAGTGCGGCGAATTTCTGGCGGAATTTCACGGAGAGGTTAGCTGTGGACAGCAGCATCGGAACCTGGGAACGGTTCAAGCAAGAACTCCGCACCCAATATGGCAACCGCACGAGTCAGGAACAGGCCAAGCAAAAAATGGACAAGCTCCGGCAGACTGGCCCAATCGACGACTACATCAACGAGATGCAGAACCTAGAATGGGACGCACGAGTTGGACCAGTTGTCATGAGATCCATGATCCTAACAGGAATAAACTCCTCGCTGGAACAGAGGCTCTCTAACGCGATTGAGGAGCCTGAAGATTTCGTGGACTGGTTAGCCTGGGTACGAAAAGTCGGACGCAAGGACCACGAGGTGAAGGCCCGGAAAGAAATCCTGCGAGGAAAGGATACGGTGAAACCTCGCGAGGAAAAAACGGAACGGCGGAAATCGCGCAACAACGCAAATCCTCGGAAAACTTTTTCCGCATCAGCCAACAACTCCAAGACCTCGGATGACTTAGGTGTCACCAAAGAAGAGAAGGAAAAATGGCAGAAGGAAGGAAAGTGTTTCCGTTGTGGTAGAGATAACCACTTCGTAAAGGATTGCGTGGCGACGAGTAAGGTCAGGTTGACGAACCTGAAGAGAAAAGAATATCCTTCCGGGAGAAAGGACCACGGAAGGAAGGGTGATAAGAAACGGAAATTGGGGCCACAAAATGAGGCATTTAGGGCAAGGATTACGAATTTGGAGAACTAAATTGATTGGGTATTTCTATTTTATGCGGTGTTTATTCTATGTCATGTTACGGCTTTTCTATTCTTTTTGGAAAAAGACTTTTCTAAGGGATCGGATTATGTTATGTTCTATCGGTTGTTATTTCGCGCAATTTAAATTCTCTTTACACACACTTCGAGAAGCGGGGTCAAACTCCGGAAACGCTTAGCGCGTAAGTGTTGTACTATGATCTTTATCGACGCTCGAATTTTCTATATAAACTCCCTCGCCCCGCGCTCAGATCAAGAACTATCAACATCAACCCACTCATACCCAAGAACAATCCACCTTACCTTACACTTTCAAAAAACATACGAACATGTCTTCACACAATCAAGAAACCCGCCTTGAGATTGAGATCTCTTGGAACCACCCCGCAACTAGTACCCAACATACAGAAATGGTCAACGCACTCCTAGACAGCGGAACAGAGGACTGGGTTATGTCCTGGAACTGTGTCCATCGTCTCAAGATCCCAACTCAACCTCGACCCAAGCCCCTCATCATCAGACAGGCTGACGGTACCCCTATGCCTAACTCCGGCACTTACATCACCCAATCTCTTACCCTCCGCGTCGACAACCATCTAGACAGAGACATCGTCTGTGAGGTTGGCTCATTCGCAGGAGAAGACCTCGTCATACCACATCGATGGCTCAAGGAGCATCAACCTACCATACATTGGGGTCAGAACAAGGTCACCTTCGACAACATTAATTGTCAAGTGAAGGGATGCTTCAGGACCATGTATGATATATACGAAGAAGACCCAGAAGAGCTGGTCATCAGGCTGTTGAGGTCGTCACCCGAGACACAGATGATGATCGAGCAACACCCCTTCTGGGCAAGGGCATTGGTAGGCGAGACCCTCGCTAGTGCTATACCAATGGAGTACCAGGACTTCGTCGACGTCTTCTCTAAGGACGGAGCCGATCGACTACCTGATCACTCTGAATGGGATCACACCATTCCCCTTATGGAAGGAAAGCAGCCTCCATGGGGACCGATCTATGCGCTCTCCCCAGTGGAACAAAAGGCACTTCGGGAATACTTGGACGAAATGCTAGCCTCTGGCAAAATAGTCCCCTCCACCAGCCCGGCAGCAGCACCGATCCTGTTCGTGAAGAAAGCCAATGGAAAACTGAGGCTATGCGTAGACTTTCGTGGCTTAAATGCTATCACGGTCAAGAATCGCTACCCCCTTCCACTCATGACAGAGTTGGCCGATTCGACGAAAGGAGCAGAGTTCTTCACCAAGATAGACCTGAAAAATGGCTACAACTTGATTAGGATTGCTGCTGGTGAGGAATGGAAAACAGCTTTCAGAACGAAGTACGGCCACTTCGAATATAGGGTAATGCCTTTTGGCTTAACCAATGCACCGGCGTCGTTTCAGGTCATGGTCAATACCATATTCAAGGATCTTCTAGATCAAGGCGTAGTTGTCTACTTGGATGATATTCTAATATATTCAAAGACTAAGGAAGAGCATACGACTCTTGTGAGGAAGATATTGGAGCGACTGCAGCAAAACCATCTATACGGGAACCTCGAAAAAACGGAATGGTACAAACAGGAGGTAGAATTCCTGGGATTTGTACTATCAGGGAAAGGGAACCAAGTCTCGCCTAAGAAGGTGAAGGCAATTACGGAATGGTTACCACCCACCAAGGTCAAGGAACTTCAATGTTTCCTCGGATTCGCCAACTTCCTACGACGGTTCATCCACAGGTACTCCGAAGTTTACCGACCAATGACCGATCTCCTGAAGAAAGGTTCCGTATGGCGATGGAGCAGTGAACAGCAAAGCGCTTTCGACGAACTCGAGGAGAGGTTTACGTCTGCCCCAATACTACGACACTATGACGAACACCGTGAAGCGATCATAGAAACTGACGCGAGCGACTGGGCTGAGGCCGCAGTACTCTCTCAGGTGTTCGAGGACGGTATTCTACACCCGGTAGCTTACCACTCTCGCAAGTTCAACGAGGCAGAGGTAAACTACGAGATCTATGACAAGGAGATGCTCGCTATAGTTTCTGCTCTCTTGACTTGGAGACATTGGCTGGAAGGAACGGACATTCCTATCCAGATACATTCGGATCATCAGACCCTACAGTACTTCACGATTACCAAGAAGTTGTCAAAAAGACAAGCCAGGTGGGCCGAAAAGATAGCACCTTTTCGCTTCAGGATTCATTACCGACCAGGCGAAAAGAATGGCAAGCCAGATTCACTCACAAGGCGCCCAGAGTTCGCTATGGAAGGGGGAGTAATGCGTGAACAACCCGTAAAACAGTTGCTCAGCGCAGAACAATTTGTCAGAAAATCACGGACCAGTGTAGAAACTGGCCCTGAAATCATTGGCAACCCCGAAGAAAAATGGACTCCGTTGGATCAGTGGTACGACATACCAGGTACTGAGCTGCCTCAGCCACTACAAGACTGGTATGAACAGGACAGACAATGGGTTCGGAGAGTGTTCCGGGATGAACCTCTCCCAGACGCAAACCTTGAAGTCTTCGGGACAGAGGAAGCTGATGCCGTAACAACGGAGCTTGCCACTGAATGGACCCCGGGATCGAATGAGGCCACCCACGATGGTCGTTGGGTAGTGCCAGGATACGCGGTCAGACAAGTCATCGAGGATCATCATGACAGACCCGTAGCGGGGCATCTAGGAAGGGATAAAACCCTTGAGTTGATCGATAGGAACTACTGGTGGCCAGGAATGTCCACGGATGTAGCCAACTTCGTCAAGACTTGCGACGCGTGCCAGAGAGCCAAGCAACGTCGGAGACACTTGTCACTCCCTCAACCCCTAGAGTTAGCCACCACACCTTGGACTGATATCTCAATGGATTTCGTAGTAGAAATGCCAAAGGAGAAATCAGGATTCCGTAACGTATTGGTAGTCGTGGACCGTTTTACGAAAATGGCTCACTTCATTCCAATGACGGGAATCAACGCGGAACAGACCGCTAACGTCTTTGTCAAAGACATTTGGCGCTTTCACGGACTTCCTAGGAGCATTGTCTCTGATAGGGGAACACAGTTCGTATCGGCATTCTGGGCTGCGGTCACAGAACGACTAGGGATTCGTAGGAGACTCTCGACCTCGTTCCACCTACAGACGGATGGACAAACAGAGAAGACCAACCAGCACCTCGAATCCTACATCCGGGCCTATACCGCCGGAACAGGAAAGAAATGGAAGGACCTACTACCGATTTGTGAGTATGCATATAATAATGCGAAACACTCGTCAACAGGACAATCGCCGTTCTACTGTAACTATGGTTTCCACCCACGAACAGATTGGCCAACGGATGCGAAAATCGGACAGCTGGATGCCACGGGAAGCACCTACCTGGAAGACCTTCTCCTAGCCCATGAGTCAGCGAGAGACACGCTGCAGAAGACCTTTGACAGGATGGCGTCAAGGCCAGGGCCAGCAGTTCAGCGGTTCACAATCGGTCAAAAGGTTTTGCTGGATACTCGGAACCTCGGCGGTTATAATAAATGGTCGGACAAGTTTACATGCCCCTTCGAGGTCGCCGCGGCTGTAGGAAATAGGGCTTATAGATTGAATCTTCCGGCAGAATGGAAGGTTCATGACGTATTCCACGAGATGTTGCTGAGACCTTATCGAGAGGATCCCAACCCGGGCAGGCAACAGAACACACGAAAACGACTCGCAACACCTGACCCTCAAGAGGCACTCTTAGATGAGAACTTCAAACCGGTCACCAACACTCGGCCCCATACGCGAAGTCAAGGGCCAGTCACCGACTCGAGACGGCCTCCGAAACGACAACGGACTAGGGAAGACTAGCTCGATACCTTTCCTACTCTATGACTTTTCCCACAGGGTTTTTATCATAGAAAGGTTTTAACGGTCGAGGGCGACGTCTAGGAAGGGGGAGTAGTGTTACAGGAAACACGAACACTGCTCCTAAGTCAAGGAACAAGGATAATACGAGTGATGGGTTGTGATGCGAGTACGGTCGGGTAACGAGGGAACAAGCATAGAAAGGTACCGAGGGGTGTGGGGGCACCGGGTGCAACCACACTAGTATTAGGCTGTTGTGAGGGCACGCTTACTATTGGGTGTCTCACCCGGAACGGAATAGAAGCGGGGCTTATGGCTGCAGGCCATTCTACTTAGGGAAGTAGCTCTAGGACAATAGCATGATACAGCTCGGTTACTGGCAATTGCGGGGTTTATGGTTACGTGTCGGAATTAGAATGGAGGAACGGAACTATGCGGGGGCGCTTTTCTATTGGGGTTATCTTCGGGTTGATTATCTTATTCTATTATCGTTATCTCATTAGTATTAGAAAGCGGGCCTTGGCATAGGTTCCAATATGTATAAATAGGGAAGGGTTCCGCCTCGTCTTAGTGGCATCATCAGTCACTCAGCGAGCGGAATCCGGTTTACAATATTACAAGTTTAAAAGCTACAGAACTATCGCTTAGCATTGGCATTTCCCCAAACACTGCGCTTTCGAATGGTGACCGGGGCATCGGAGTGATATATCAGGGGGGTGTAGAAGAGATAGACTTGAATCTGGAATATGGAGAAGTCGATCGCAGACAACGGAATATGGCGGCGAATCGTAGTACGGGATATTCGGTATCTTGTGTTTTGAAATGTACTTCTTTTACAAAGATACTTTTTGGTTTTTGGTACCTGGTTTCCGGGAGTGTGGTTGGGGCTTCGGTTGGTGTTACGGTTCTAATATTACAGGCCTCCTCCGTATGATGCATGTAAACGTCTGGTGGCCGAGGGGGCGGGAGGGTTGAACGCCGGCTATGCAATCGCGCTCATATAGTATACCTAGTGATTGGCACAATACACGACGAGACGGAACTAGAGGATAGGCTTGTCTCACCTTGTAATATTGTGGTTCACACTTTACAGCCGCCAACAAATAAGGGCTAGTCTTGCCAAAGCCTGCGAGACTTTGTCTTCTGCTGATAGAAAGACTAAAATGACCTTAAATCTCTTATTAATCGTAATAGGATTTATTAGGCTTGATAGAGGAATTTTGATGGTTAGGGTTATGGTTTAGAAATGGATGGATAATCTTTTGCCTTACAAAGAAAGTCTCGAGACCTTTGTAAAAATGGCTGGATGCCCTGCGTATTCAAATTCACATAATCTCATATGGTCTGCTCAAAGTCTCGTGACGAAGTCTTGCCATGTCTTGTCCTTTCTCCATCACTAAGTACACCGCAGGCCAGTTTGGCATCATGAAATAGGAGACTTGAGCACGAAATTTGAAAATGGGGCGTGGCCAATACACTCCGATATTGAAATATCCTACTCGGATATGTTTAAAGATTCTGTACCGGCTCTCAACCAGAATACACATCTTTCTGTTTCGGTTAAATACCCGTTATATGTGGTAAAGACACTCAAGTCTAAAGAACTCTCTATGTTTAACATACCCCCATTTTGATTGGCGGGAGTGAATATAGAGCTTCGATTAAACAGTCGCACCCAAACTTTGTACTACAGTGTGGCCCGCATATCTTGACTCTAAACACTGTAGAAAACCCCACAGAGAGAGCGGGAAAAAGAAAAAGACAAAGAAGACGCAGAGCACCGCAACGGTTCCATAACAACACAAAACAACACATACACCACCTGCCACTCGCCATCCGTAATATCATCACTGCCTCTTCCACCGAGACTAAACACTAAGACCTCCGGCCTCACCAACTACACAGCCCCGCTCCCCCGCCCGAGCATTCACTCCTTGCCTCATACATACAGCAATCCTGTTCCTCCGTCCCTAGTACATCCCTCTACATTAGCATCTCTCTCACCACTCGACCAATCCGCGCAGGACTTGAAACATACCGCATTCAAACACCCTGTGCTTATAGTCGCCCTCGACTCCGCTCACGTCGCCGGGGTAGATCACGACGCCACATCCCCAGCAGTACATGCCCGGCTTAGTGCCCTGCGCGCAGCGGCAGCCCTGGTCGCATTGGCGCTTGCCGAGGGCGTCACCGGTAGCGAGGGTGGGACTGGCGACGGTGAGGTGCGCGGTGAAGAGGAGGAGGGTGATTGAGATGAAGGTGACGGGGTGCATGGTGGGTGGTTGGTTTTGGTGTTTTTTGGGTATGTGTGAGCTGGGAGGAGAGATAAATCGCTATGGGACCGTGAAGAGGGCAAGAAGATATTGAGGACGAGGACGTTGTGAGGTGGATGGAGTATAAAAGGGAAGGGAGCACGAAAGAGAAAGGGAAGAGGAAAGAAGACAAGCTTAAGAACGCTCTCCCCCGACCTGCTGCCTAGCACTGAAAAAGGAGAGCGTGGGACGGCTGCCAGCTTAGCTGGATGCTATTCTCTACACGGCTCCCAGCTGGAGATAGGCGTTTTGTGACGCCATAATTTCGTGGCAACGTTTCGTTCTGTTTCGTTTCATCCCAGCATCTTCCTCGCAATCAAACAAAATCCGCCTATAGCAGCGCGAGCAGTTAGCGGTGGTTGGTGGTGAGGTGAGATTAGTAGAGCGAAAGGTAGCAACGGGGGGCCGGCCTGGGAACAGGGTTTATGTGGATGGTTGGGGTCGATAGGCTGTTCCCGTGTTTTTGACAGGAAGCTTACCAGTTGATATGCGGTGCGACGACGGGATTACCCCAGACGTTTAGCCCTATCATGTTACGGGTTCATACCGAACGCTTGCTGGGTACGACGAGAATCCTTCCCCATTTGGCCATCTCGGTGGCGATCGGTCGTGTCACCTTGAGTTCTGTCGATGGGAGTGTTATGAGCGGTGGACTTCACATGTGCCTTACGGCGAGAGTTAAAATGATTGTAGAAACAGGGGCCTTGGAACAGTGTTTATAGTACAGCTGGTTGGGCGAATGGCACTGGTCCCATATTTCTGCATATACTCGGGTGTGGGCACAAGAACCAGAAAATACAACTGACGATACAAGATTATTTTTACGGAGTGGCGGCGCTCTGCCGTACAAATAACCCTATTGTAGTTTTTGGTTCTTTCTCCCGTGCCCGAGTACAATACCGCAAGATCCCAAGAATAACGAATCGAACTGGACTGCGAATATTGGGCTTTTGATTGCTCAAATGCATGTTGAGCTTCAATCCGAGAGATCCAAGGCGTAACTTTTAGTCATCTTGACCAATTGGTACGGTCCCACGCTCGTCGTACGACGGCGGGGCTACCCCAGGGCATTTCGTCCTGTCAGGTTACTAACACTTGCCGTATGTAGAGTAGGCACCAAGATATTTCTTCCTGATTTGGTCATGTCGGTGGCGATCTGTGGAATTCTCTCGACGTCTACCAATGACAACCTTCAGGCGCCCAACAGGTAGCCGTGCTGATTAGATTGAAGCCTCACCTAACCCAACCAACGTTATGAATGAGCTCACCCATGCCCAACCCAATCTAACCCGCCATATATACCCGAGTTACCATCATATAAATGGATGGGTATAAAATTAAAAGAATTTATTTTTATAATTGATGTACCGCCATAACTCGAAAAATTGGCTAGATCAAAATTACTTGTACGGGAAACTTCTGGTGCAGATCGATGCCATTCAACCAATCACTCAAGTGGTAATCCCTGGACGGAGATAGCCAATTTTTCGAGTTTTGGCGGTAGTGGCCTTTTGAGGTAGTGGGGTGGGGCGGTGGGTTAGGGTTCTGATACATACCACTTTTCCCACTTCTATGTGATCATATATTATCACTCGAGTAAGGGTTACCTAGGTTCAGGGTTTCTAGTGGTTCATTGGTTATATGGTTCAAACCGGTTTGACTGAACCGTTTAACCTAGTAGTTGGTGCAGTTCTTATCGCCCTGAATACATGGTTTGAACGGGTTAGAAATCTGCAAAACCGGTTATACCGACGGTTTAAACGGTTTATACAACTCATGTTCATGAGCTTGAACACCCCAGTTCCTGAGGTCGAACACGTCTGTTCCAAAGCTCGAACACCCTGTTCAAGAACATGAAGAGCTATTTTTTGGACTGTTATCATGGTGAGTATGCCAAGACCAAAAACCGCGGTTTAAGCAGTAAAACCAGTTCAAACTGTCAAGATAGACAGTTGGTACAGTTGGTACAATTTGAGCTGCTTGACTTAGTGGTCTGTGCGGTTTTATCTTATATCACAACCGGTTTCTACCGTTGGAAACCCTGCCTAGGTTGATTTTTCTTTTTTTTTTTTGTTTGATTCATTAATTGTATGTGGTAAATATTTTGTTGCACCCAACCCAACCCAAGTTGATTTACCCGGGTTGACCCAAACATACCCATAAGTACTCTAAGGATCTCCTGAGCGGTAAACTTCATATCTGGTCTGGGCATAAAGAGCCTCTCTCCCCCGGCTGGTGTGCGATCTCATGTACGTTTTTTTTATTTCAGTAGAATCTTTAGCCTTTAGCGCATCAACACTTTGCAAAGTTGTGCAACCGTGATAAGTGAAGGAAAAGACATAAACAAGCCTTACACCGGCGTAGAGATGAACACAAGGGGAAGACCTCGAGTCCGAAAGAGAGAATAAAAGAATACATAGCTAACCCCGGGGCAAGACAGGTCAATAGAAAGAACATATGAAACGCAGTGTACTGCGATGACTATGATAGAGACCAAATATCACGACAAAAAAAGAAACAACCCTCTTCGGCACAAATCAACCACACCGACCCGTCGCACCGTTCGCGCAATCATTTGCCGGGCCAAAGCTACAACAGTTAGAGGGAGAACCGCCTGTACTCGCCCTTCTTATCAGCACTTCATTCTTAGCACCCCACACAGGATATGACCTACCGCATTGAAATACCCAATCAGTGACGTCGCCAGCTCCGCTGCCTCCATATGTAATTTCGTCACACCCCCAGCAGTAAACACCGGGCCTTGTGCCTGGTGCGCATGTGCAGTCGTTTTCAGCAGGGCATCTTTGGCGCTTGAATAGGAGCCCACTGTCAGCGGGGGCAGGTGCGGGGGCGGGGTTGGCGACAGTGAGATGGGCCATGATGAAGAGAAGAGCGATTGGGAGAAGACTGATGAGACGCATACTGGATGATTGATTTTGGATTTCTTGTTGAATATGGGATGGGGAGCAAACTGGTGGAGGGTTAAAGGGAACGATGGGACATAGGTAGTCTTTATACGTTTTGTAATCGTGAAGGAGGAGGGGAATAGAGAGACGAAGGGGAAAAAACAAGTCTTTCTCACAGAATAGCAGCTGTAGCTTTAATTTGTGACTTCGTTTGGATGCAGTTCTGTGCTGCGAAGGTTTACACTTTTGATGTCATATTTTTGCACATCTCTTCGTATCGACAGAGACTTCTCGTATCGCCGTTACACCAATTACAATAGGCCCACAAAGTGCTGCAACATTTTACAATGTGGTATCGCCTGGTAGGCCCGGACCTGCTCAGAATCTGGTGCTCCGCAGCCTTGGCAAATTTAGGCCAAAGGTTACTGTTTGTGAGAGTTTCCTATTAAAATCTCAAATGTATCATTACCCTACATGGCAGACAAGCACAGGGTGTGTACAATATGCAGAGCACTAGATTCTGAGCATGTTTTGACCGACCAGACGATAAATGAGCTCACCCATGCCTAACCCAATCCCATATATTATATAAATGGATCGGGATAAAATTGAGAAAAACTATTCCAACAACCGACGAAGGGGCCTTTCGGGTTGGTGGGTTGGGGTGGTGTCTGGGTAGTCGGTTGAGGCGTGGGTTAGGGTGCTGCTAGGTATCACTTTTGTGATCATATAGTATCACTCGACCAAGGGTTACCTAGGTAAAGGTTTGCTTGCACACCAAAAAAGATACGTCTAAAAGCTTTCTGAGCGGTATACTTCACACGCGGTTCAGGCATAAAGAACCTCTCTCCCGCCTAGCGCGTGATCTCATGTACGTTTTTTACTCAAGTGGAATCTTTAGCCTTTGCATCAACACTTGGTAAAATTATGAAACAATGATAAGTGGAGGGGAAGATACAGGTAAGTCCTGAATTCAAACAGAGATGGTAGAGATGGGCGCGAGGGAAAAGCTCTCGGGCCTGAAAGAGAGAGTAAAAGAATACATGGATAACCCCCGGGGAAAACAGTTCAATAGAAAGAACATACGAAACGCAGTGTACCGCGATAACTACCCAATAGATCACGCTTATTGGCCAGCTATCTACAAAAGAAAAAGGTACTCCCTCCACACTCAGATAAAGCTTCCATCCAATCTCTCTCAGTCGCCGCACCGTCCCGTGGAACCATCAAGACAATCCGTCGCCCGGCCATAGCTACAGCAGTTATCAAATCTGCTGCCTAAATTTGCCCTTCATATCAGCGTTCTGTTAGATACTAGTACTTCACTAAGGGCATGCCTTACCGCACTGGAACACCCAGTCCCTGTAGTCGCCTGAACCACTGCCCACGCCTGTGATCACATTGCTGCCATCACCACGTTTACACCCATAACAATAGACCCCTGGGGATACCCCTGTAAGGCATGTGCAACCATTCTCAGTGGGGCAGCGGACAGAAGGTTGCTGGCGCTTCTCGAGAGGAATAAGCTCGGCAATAGAGAGGGGCTCCGCGAAGGGGTTTGGGGCGGGCTTGGCCACGGCGAGATGGGCGATAATGAAGAAAAGAGCAACAGGAAGAGAACAGAGGAGACGCATATTGGTTACTTGTTTATTACTTTATGTGCCAACACATGATGCGGAGCGAGTTCGTGAGGATTAAGTGGGGGAAAGTGGGGAAGTATCTATACATTCTGAGGGGGATGTCGGAGAGAGCAAGAACGGACCAATTCTTGGTGGAGGTGTAGTAGCTAGCCTTGGTGAAGTATCTGCGGACGTCTTCTCGTATCGCTGTTGCACCACTCGCAATAGCCCCACAAGGTGCTGCACTTTGCTCAATTAATTTTTAGTCCTTCTTCGTCATTCTTCGAGTTCTCCCGGTTGACGAATAGTATGGTTAGAACAAATGAGAATTGGCAGTATCTCACGTCTTGGCAGCTTCTTTCATAATTCTACCTGTTCGCCAAGGGGCAGTTTCGTCAAGTGATGGCTAGTGTCTTTAAAGTGCGATACAGCTGCCGTCAGTGAGGGGAAGGGTTTTAGATAGTGGCCAGTCAGCTGGCTTTGATCCCTTAGTAGCTCTATGTACACTGTGGTATCGTACTAAACAGCAAACACATCCTTCAATAAACCCGACCGGATGAAATCCACAACCGGGCCGGCCAATATAAGTGTTTAGCACGAAATGAGTCAAGAGTGATAGAGATTTCTGGGGTACAGAAGGTATCTGAACTTGTGCGTAGCTTCACCGCTACAATAGCTCGCCCTTGCCCCTCGAAAACCACCTCCCAACAAACAAGTGTATTTATTACCTGGTAGGCCGAGACCTGCTTAGAATCTGGTGCTTTGCAGATTCACAGTCTTGGCGCCAAAATCCACGCTTTGTGAAAATTTCTTGTTGAAATCTCAATTCAATCATTACCCTATATATGGCGCCATATTCTGAGTATGTTTCGGCCTACCAGGCGATAGCAAATAGCGTATGAAAATTCTCATTCACTAAAGACTTTTGTTTTCTCAAAGGAAAAAGAAAAGCTGTACTTTTTCCAAGTGCTCATTTGTCGGGAGACGATGAAAAACTCTAATTTAGAGAAAGCTGAACGCCTCCCCTCAACCTGATTGGCCGATTTGATTCATGGGTTAGGGACCAGTGGGACTACATAACTACCGGCACATAAACGGCTGCCGACACACTCGTCTTGATTGGTCCTTTTCATGCAAGTGAAGTGACGGATGTCTTGGGCCAACAATTAACTCCCGACGGCTTACATCCGACAATTGCCACTGAGCCTGAGGTAGCTGGACTGTCGTGGATTGGTAGACCTCAGTTATGAAGCCTTTTCACACCAGGACAACAACGCAGCTCTTTCCCTCTTTGTGGCGCCGATCACGGGTAACTGATCGGCAGTGAATACGAGCAGTGCACTTTTCAAATTTTCAAAAGTGTACCTTTTAGTACCGGGAAACAGGAGGCGGTGCCAAGCATTGGATCTGCAGCAACAGCAGCATGAACGCCTCTGGGCATGGATTCGATCTGATATAGATCCAGGATCTGCTTGGCTTACCGGGAGGTTTCGAAATAGCGAATAGGCACTAAGGGCCAGTTATCGCAGGGGGCGTAAAATCATGTGGAGATGTGTGGTAGTGTACAGTCGTTGATTGGGTGGTGATGGAGCCTGGGCGTTTACGGGGCAAACCAAGGAGAGAAAGATAGTGCATGAGCAGTCGCCAACGCCCCGTGTGTATTAGCGGAGTGTGTCGTTTAACTGGCGGCAGATATGTGCTTAATTGCAAAAGATGGCCATAGCATCAAATTCCATCAATACTGTTCAGAACGCCATGTTGGCTGATTACTACATGATGTGAGCTATTTTACAATTTTGAAACTAGTCTCGTTGGTCACGAAACTCGATCTCGTAGGATAAATCTCGACCTCAACTGAAGGTCGTTTCGCCCTTTATAAATATACTATTTTGTGCTGGAAACGGGATGATGGGTCGAAAACCTGGTCATTATTAGCGTCACCACGTAGGCTGAAATTTACGAAATGGTGCCGGTACAATATCGTGATGCATTTGGTCTGTAGAGTGAAGTTATAATCATTTTAAAAACCTGTATTTACGAGGGGGGCTTTATTGCTTCCTGGGCGAGTAAAGTCTCCTTTCTTATTTTTAGACCTGCTCTACGGCGCAAGTAAACGAATCAGTAAATGAATCCTGTAAATGAATCATGACGACGCAAGTAAATGTCACAAATTTACTATGTGTAAACAAATCATGAATGCGTGAGTTCAATACGTCCCTTTTGTTTACACATTAAAAACCGAACTAGTCTTTAAAAGGATATTCTAGGCGGTCAATTGTTTGATTGCCAAAAAAACAGCAAGAATAATTGCTAGCAGTGAGAGTTGAACCCACAAGCTCCAGAGACACTTGGTAGACTATATCACTTGCGTCAAATAACACAGAATAATTATGGGTTTATGCATGGATAACCGAAATATAGTGGAAATGTGCAAAGAAAATGCTACTTCAATGGGCAGTTCGGGTGAAATGAGTATAGAAAATGCTACTTTAATGTATTCCGAAATGTCACTCTGTAAATGCATCACTTGGTTCAGTAATGAATCACCTGTGTCATTTACTAACAGCACCTCGGATAAATGAATCAATTGATTCAATTACTCAATTCGCTTTAATGTATAATGCATCAATTGATTCATTTACATTGCTAGTAGAGCTGCTGTAATTCTGCCACACGTTTCATTTAATATTCTACAGTTGCACTCACCAATATAGAAATTCAGACTACTGAGGAATCACGACAGGGTATTCCTGTCTCATTTGGTGTTCCAGGAGTTAACTTGTACTCCCTTTTTGTCAGACGAATAAGGACTAGTTCTCTCTATATGGGCGGTTTTGGGGCCGTTGAGGAATCTACAATCACTACAGCAGAACTCAAATTGTCAATCTTAAAAGTCTGGTGATCAATTTCAAAATATCAATCTCTTAACTATCATACCTCAGTCTTTGGCCGAAGCTAAATAGTTCTCATTTATCGGGTGTAAGAATTTGCTCACCCTTATTATCTGTCTAGTCTCGTCAGAAGCCTTGATATTTTTAAAAGGGTTTCTCATATCATGCACCAGGTGTAGCGGAAGTGCTCCCAGAATTATACATTTGAATACTGCATTGGGTTCCTGGCCTGTCAAAATCTTCAGGAATCTCAGTTGATTATTGGAGAACCTGACGATGCAGGAGTAACACTCTCAAATTCTCAAGTCTTCAGACTTCCTTCCTCAGCCAGTACATAGTCAAGACTCTTACGAAATGACAAGTCTTGTGGCAGTCTAGATCTCTGGGATTACAGCAAGACTTTAAAAAATTGCTTCCTACCAACTGTCATTATCTTTCTTAAATGCAGAGGTTTCAAAAGTCCACAGTGTTAAATAGTCGGACTTATCTATAAGTAGTTGGTGCAGTCCAGTCTAAGTTATTCTGTTAATAGTTCAGTCCAGTCCATAGTTTGAATCAGACTGGTCTGACTATATATTTTGATAATCGTAATTTTTGTATTTTATAGCTTTACTCTTCATCAACTCCGAATCAATTTTAGTCAACACCACCCTTCACATCCCTTACAAGCTTCAAAATATCTCAATATCTACGATCAAAGCAATATGACAATATCATAGTACAGGATTTCCATAACAAAGAACTGGTTTTTGGTGAATGATGCGACAGTTGACAGAAATATTATCGACTGTATAACTTAGTGGTCGGACAAGTCCGAGTTTAAATAGTCAAGTCAGTCCAGTATGAGCGTGATGATATTTAGTACAGTCCAGTTCGAGGTAAAATTTGGACCAGTCCTGATTACTAAGACATCTGCTCAAATGATTGTCTAAATATAATCGATATGCATGATCATATGAGGATGTTCCCAAAACGCAATTTTAGCTCTGCGCTAGTTAGAGAGATTCCAGGGTTTGCGGTAAACTGCAAGGCCTGCAAAATGCAGAGCTTACTTGACAAATATACTGTGTGTTGAAAAGATGTCAAAACAGGGGAATACTTAGAATAAGGTCATTTGTATGATAGAACGATGCCATTCCATACAAATAATACCTATATTTATTATTTGTAGTTTCTTGTGATTTATCCTACGTATCAGTATAAGTGGACTATCAACTTCTATTAGTGCATTATATACGCCAAAAGTATGAAGGTGCTCGATATGCTTCCAGAAGCTCCTAACATTTACTCAACTACTCAACAGGAGTGCATTATGGATCATAACTCTGTTTCTACAAAATAATCTTGTCGCTTTAGAGCTTGAGATTCTGGCCCTAAAATCTCGGTCTGGTGCATAATGAGACAGAGATAATGGGAGAGTGTATTTGTCTCACTATGTTACGACACCATCATGTTGTTGGAACCGCTGGCTAATTCTCGGTATAGGCAATCGAGCAAACCCATGCAATCACTCTACTATGTACCATCTACAAATATGTACGCTCTCATTGCATACTTGTAACGGGGACTATGGGCGTAGGAACTATGAAGCCAAGGAATACAACCGAGGCGAAGACGTGGACGTAGGAGGTTCATGGACTATGGACTATGGGGCCGAAGGGTACACCTAAGGCAAGAACGGGGACTGTGGACTATGGACTATGGATGGTTGTACCTGGTCTAGTATACCGGGTAAACCCTATGACGTAACGTTAACCAAATAGTATTCGTGAAATAAATACAGAGGTTACATAAAGAGGAAAGAAAAGAAAAGAAAACAGAAGAAAGCTAAAACAACGCCCCTTTATATATCCAGACCTCAACCCATAATAACTCATCTTTCTCGCATAACAGAAACAGAAAGAACATAATAGAAACTCGCTTAACAAATCCCACACACACTGCATAATCCTTCCTTTACATACTCTGACACTTCGCATAACCGAAACATATAGCTGCCATTACAATACTTCCATAACAAAATTGACTTCGTCTAAATTATTATTTTCTGAATCCTTTACTTGTAACATATCTTTAAAACTAAATCTCGTTGACTTATTGAAAAGAACAGTATCAAAGGCTTGG